TCAGCCCAACCTACCCCACAAGGTTGTTGTTGTGGAGATAAGATTGAGAGCAAAAGAAGAGCGATGCAAACCAGCTTGAGCTTAAAAAAAGAAAAAGATGGGATAGAAGTCTATTGAATAACAAGTGGGGAACTCCAAAAACAATCCAAAAGGGAGGACATGCTGCAGTGGACACATAACATTAACCACTGGGGTGGGGGAAAATGGAAAAGCTTGGAAGAGAAGGGGGTGAGGTATCCTGGAAGGGAGCCTGGGCGGATGGACGCCGGACAAGACGCATTCCATATTGCAAGATTCTGTTACAGGTCTTGCTTGGTGCTATTTGACAACTTTCTAACACAGGCTTCCTCCAGACCAGTTACGGGTGAAGAAGCAGACTGAATGGGGCACTGTGCACCTATTCCATATTATTTTTGCCTTCTCAGTGGATTTCTTTCTGGTAAGAGAAGAGATGGAAGAAATCTGGGCAAACATGGGAGGGTTCCTACAAGAGGAAGACACTGTGACCTGGGGGAGTAAACACATGCGTGTCGATACAATTTTATGCTTGAGGCAGGACAAATGCCTTGCCTGAAAACTCTGCTATAATTTATGCACATACCTTTAGAAGCATGAGCACCGAAGACAAGATGAACCTTCTGCTCCAAAGATTTAACTTCTACAGATCCTGGAGAGGAAGCTAAACAGCAAAGAGGATGTTGTACAGTGCTTCAATCAGGCACAATTTCAAAGTGCTGGCTGCCCACCCTTAAGTCATGAATGGGGCACAAACTTGCAACTAAACGGCACAATCCAGGGTGTGTTTAGACAGAAAAAGGTCCTACAACTCCAGCAATTCCCAGCCAGCTATGCTGGGCGTTGAAATACTTATTTTCTCTCTCGACATGCACAGGACTGCGTCCTTAAGGGACTGATTGCTGCATGAACCTGCCCCAAACTTGTTTCTATTCACCTGACATCCTCCTCTGGATTTCTCCACCGTCTAAATTTAGGCAGGTGACTACCAGAGGTGTTTCTCAGGTATGGGACCTAAAGGTTTATTTCTGCAGAGCAGCTCACCTAGCACAATTTTGATGTTGTTCTGGCACCAGACTTTAAAAAAATTATTTGCCACAAGATTCCCACATGTATTATTTTTGGTCTGTGTTGTTTATAGACCTTTTCAGTTTTAGTAGGGGTTTCTTTGGTTCTCTGTATTTATTATATTCCTATGCTGCATCTTAATGGCAGTTCTTTGTTACTGTTCTTACAGTGGCCTCTATAATTTGTTCGATTGCAAAAAAGGCAAAATAAAACAAATCTTTTCTTGTATTTGTTTTTAAATTGTATGCCATCCTCCGAGGACATTACAGATGGGAGTAAGATGCCTTGATGTTCATGCACCTGCATTTTAGATTTTATCTTGGTTTTTATATATTGTTTTCCCTTTACTGTTCATTGGGGGGGTGTATTTTCATCTTTGTGCTTTATAGCATCCCTGCAGAGAACTTTTGTTATTGGATGCCTTTAAAATATGGTTTAAAAATAACATTTAGATAAATGCGCCAAACTAAGGCAACATCGCAATTATACTAATAGCGATCTCAGTTCTTGGAGAGCTAATCATTATGCAGCCCAAACGGCACCGCAACAACAAAGCAAGCAAGAGCAGAAGCCTGGGAGGAACTCTGAAGTATGTGGAACAAAATACTTTTGGGGGACACCCTGAGTGGGAGTGTGTGGCTCCCACAGGTTCTGGGGAAGACTAACAGGTACAGTGAATGCCAAATACCTCATCTGGGAGGAACAGAATGCCTGGAATTACCAATAGAGCCATTCCACTTTGTAACATTTTCTTGCATGTGTGCACACACTGAACAATGACTTGGATCATTTTTTGCAAGGAGCTGCTATACATAAGCAGTCCTCTTTGTCTTCCGGAGTCATCTGAAGAGGTACCGTCCAATTGCAGGCTTGCTACCTCTGGGAAAATGAGGCTGCTGCCTCCCTGGCATGGCCATGCAAATCCAAGCGCAGATAAGCATAGCCTCCTGCAGATGCCCACAAGCTAGTTTTGTTCTCCTTAGTTACCAATATTCCTGGCTGACACGAAAATCTTCTGTTGAGCCACAATGCTTCGGCATATCTAGGTGACACTGTCATCTCTGATCAGTGTCATCCAGATCATTCTTTTTCACTCATTAGCTTGCAGCCACAGCAGGCCTCTTTAGCAAACCCGCTTCCTTCCCTTGATTAACGAGCAAGGCCTCTCCCTACACCCCCTGCTCTTCTTTCCCTAAGGGTATTTCTTATGGGGGAAAAGAGGAGCGAGCATCCGCACAGCTGCCATAAAGAGCATGATGCAAATATCCTCTCTCAAGCGATGGGTGCCCGTTCCCTGCTGAGGAGGAGAGCAGGTGGAGAGCTGCAGGCTCTCTGGAGCGAACGTACACATACGCACACAGGCAGACAAACCTCCTGGCAATTAAAACCTGTAGCCCCAGTTCAGCAGCGGCCATGTACAGCTGTAAGTAACAAATGGCTGCAGAAAGAGATGGAGGTGGACCTCTCTAGGCAGAAACTAGAGAGGGATCAGTCAGGACTTGTATTATATGCCTTCCCCATTTCCACTGCAGTAAGAGGGGCACACTTGTGGCCCCCCTATTTTTAGACCAAATATCATGGCCCAAGGCTTTTCCCATCACCACTGCATAGTGATGAAGGCTCTTTTCCCACCACTTTATGTCTTTCTTGGGTTGGCAACAATGCTGTGGAACTAAAACTTCCAGCCCCCAGCATTAATTACCAATAACCCTGCTGACAGACGTTCAAAACATCTGGATATCTACCTGCTGCCCACCCCTGTTCTTGTTTATTCCCTTCTGGGTCTCAACAAGCCCATCAACCTGTTATTTACAGATATTCCTTGAAAAAAGAAACAGATTTGGGGTTTGTGTAAAGGCAACTCAATTACTGAACACACTTTTTAAATGCAGAAATGTTTCTATCACTTTTCAAAGAAGTCATTTTGGTAAAAATCTTTCAAGAACCTGGACTAATTGGCCACTACATTTTCACAATCAGAATCTACTTTAAGTCTTCTAGGATTACAGAAAATACTTCCTGAGAGTACATAAATTCAAAACAAGGCCAGATGGTTTTCTCACATATTATGATGGCTCAATCTGGCCTGCAACCCACAATCAAGCACAAGCTAAGACAGATTTGTCAGTTGTCATCCATAAGCTAGTAAAACAAATAGCTATCACATTTCAATATACTGAAGAGAGAGCTCTTGCATTCAATCCCATGAACGTTTCAGACTCCTGCTTCCATTAAGGTTTATTTGTTCATTTCTCTTCCTCCCAACCGGCCCCCTTTGTCAGTTAATTTGATTTGTTGGCAAAGCAGCAAAACTATTTCCTGCAAACATTTTGTATGTTTGATACCTCATTTTTATCTCTATAACCACAGCAAGTACCTGAGCATATTTTTTCCAGTGCTAGATTTCCTAACAGATATTTATGTCTATCCCCTCAAAAGGTAGAGGAAACTCCAATTTAACAAGGACTATCATTGTAGTCTCAAACCAAAAAAGCTTCTTCCTTTTTAAAGCAACTGAAATCCAACTAGAACCCATTCATTTTCTAAACAAAGCTATATGAGCATTGAATAAGATATCGCTGAAACAAATACACATCACCATTGCCTCAATCAGTATTTCAAGAAAGCGTGTCCGCTGCTGGACATGCAAAAGCTTTGGACAATTGAATTAACCTGTAGGATTGTGAAGGTAGCCTCTGGATGAGACCAACGTACACAAATACTAAGGGGAGTAGGGCATAAGACTCAGTAAAAAAATTCTGATTGTCATCTGAGTAATTTGGAGGCTTCCTGACAGCTGTCAGATTTTCAAACTATTTTGACTCTAAAGCCAGAAATCTAAAGCTCCATACTTCCCAGTGCCTATTTCTTCTTGCTCAACTGTTTTCTACAGATGTATCAAAGCCATTTACGTAAAATGTAATACCATCAAACCAATGGAAAATAAAACAATTGTAGCCCTTTTGTGGTTTGGCACAACTTGAAACCTTTGAAATTCTAGAAGGGTGAGGGCAGAGAGTTTTGCACGTAATATCCTGGAATGTTTACTTTACATCTTTACAATGTCTTGGTAGAACTGGAAGAAAACGGCAAGTTTATTTGCCCCTTTGTGAGGGGATAAGTGAGCTTAGTGCAAAAACAGGCTTTCTGCTTACAAGGCAAGGCAGGATGCTGCTGTCCTTCTCTGTCTGCTGTAGACACTTGCTAGGAAAAATGCCATCCAAGTGAGGTGGCCCTAGGCAGGCAACCCATAACATTTCAGGATAGGTGTAGAGGCTAAGGAGTTAGGATGAATCAAACAGTCTTAAGGCCTCCCTCCCACACCTCATTTTTGCTCAACTGGAACCAAATGACAGGAAGTACAATAGAAAAACAATGGATATACAGCATATAGTGGTAGAAACAGAAGGCTCTGGCTACTGGGCAATTCAGCTTCAACACCAAAACGCAAGGATGGGAGAGCCCTGATAAAATCATCCACTATGAAGAGAAACAAGAGCCAGTGGTCACTAAACTGTACCCCCTCCTGCCATTTTTGTTCTAGGGAGACACAGACATTTTTGCCTACACATTGTCTGCGTCCCTCCAAATCAGTGACAAGGTTCAGGATGGCACCGATCGGTAAACTTCAGAGGAGCCCTGCTTCACTCTGAACATCCCTGGAATCAGCTTGATTCTGTTCAAGATATATGCAAATTCTAAGTATGGCCCGAAGAAAATATAACACTAACCGTATTTTTAAAGAAATCCTTGGGGTAGCACTATTCTGAGTTACTTATTTCATACTGTTTGTACAACTGTCAATTCCTCTCCACTCCTTTGTGTAACCTTCCCACCACCTCCTGGCTCTTCTGTGGCACAATATACTCTCATGCAAGGGAAAAATCGGATATAGCAATAAATTCCATCAACACAAATTTTACAAGGTATTAGATTATTTTTTCAGTATAAAAATGACAAACCAACCTGATAGGAAACATACAATATTAAACATCCCTCCCACATTTGCAGAGGTCAAATGAATACAGTAATGAATCAGAAGCACATTTTGTGGCTAAAACAAGACATCTGTATATCCATTTCAAACCCTAGTGACTCTAGTCCATAAGCCTTTTTAATCTTCCATGTACATAGCCAAGAATTCAGGAATGGCTCCTCAGAAACACAGATGGTTAATATTTAACTGTGTGCAAGGGAACATAGCTGCTGTTGTTTATTTCCACTGTACAGAGCAATTCAATTTGGTTAGAACAAATCCAATTCTGTAAAACCAAGCATTCAGCACCAGCCATCTTCTGTTCATCCTCACTGGATCTCTCCCATATACAGCCTTTTGTCACTAGATGCAGAAAGTACTGGTAGGAGGAAATACAGAATTATTTTAACATTGGAAGACTTAATTTAGTCATAGTATTCTTTAGCTTTCTCCAGTTTCCCCAAATAACTTCATAACTAACCTGGATCTTTTACAAGCATGTCTCCACTAACTGGCAGATAAATCCTATATGTTCTTACTCAAAAGCTGCCTCATTTTTTGAACTATAATACACATTAATTATCCTCCTGGCAGTTGGATTCTAATTTTATTTTTAGCAATAGTGCTGCTTTTAAAGAAATGCATGCCTTTTCTAACAGCAACAACTTCAAAAAAACAAACTGGTCATTAGTTATGAGACGCAGCTCATACTAAAAGAATATTTTTCACCATCCAGGTAATCCTCTCAAATCATCTGAGTTTGTCAGATCTGAACTTTACCTTTAAAACCAATCAATACCAGAAAGCAGTGATTGTATCTAGGCCAATAAAAAAGTTAATGGAGATTTCAGGCAAGGAAAGCAAAGCTTCTACCACCTGGCTTCTCTGGCTGCAAACCTAGGGATATTTACTTGGAAGTTAAGCTGGGCTGAATTAAGTAGGACTAAGTTCTGAGTAGAAATATATTGGCTTGTGTTCCATCTGTGGAAAAATATATGCTCCTTAAGAAAAGAGAGCGCAAGTTAGGAAAGAAGGCAGGCAAGACACCGCCATCCCCTATTGTGAGGTGCAGGTCTCGCAAGTGCAAGTTTTTTTATCAGCAGTATTTATAAGAACATGCATGCAGTTACTCAAAATAGCTTTCCTTTCACAAAGACACTAAATGCTTTCTGGAGAGGAGGGCTGCAACCTCCTTGGGCTCAATTGTATTTCCTTACAAATAAATAGAACATATTTCTGCAAGGCTTACTAATTGGCTCCTCTGGATGAAAAGCAACTTCATTTATTGAACCGGCATGGCCTGGCAGCTTGTAGAGGATTCTTCTGGAGGTCGTATCCCAGACATAAACAAACCTGTGTGGCACAGACATGAATTAAAAAGTGGTCCACAGTTTGGAAACGTGAAGAATATGAACTTGAAATAGATTTTTACCTGTCTGCTGATCCAGCAGCTATTTTACTTCCATCTGGTGACCAGGAGCATCGTAGGAGATTCTGACAAGAAAACAACACATCACCATTCCAGACATATATTCATTTCCCCTGCTTTTATTTGTAATATGTCGGCAAATTTCAATATTAACAACACTGGAGTAATGACTTTTTGTCTGAGAGCTTAGTCTGCAGCAATATATTGTATTTTATTGCCAAAAATACCCAGTATCTTGTTATCGTATGTGTATGTCAATATACTTACTTTATAGACAATTAAAGATGCACTTCGTGGGGTAGGAAAATCATGGTGCAGCAGCTCTAATTGGAATTTTACCTCACACATTCATCTTAAGTACAGCCCTTGTTAGAGGGTTTGTGGCAATTTTAAAATTTTAAAAGCCATTTACTTATGAATTAATTTCCTGCCACCATCCATAAATGAGAACACTGCACTCACTTTCTCAAAATTATGCACATTTCCTTGGAGTATCTTCACACATCTCTCCTTAGGAGCAAAGGGCCGAACATCCCAGATACGAACTAGAACAAAGTCCGTGCAAACAGTTAAGAATCAAAGTAACTAGACATTTACGAGCCTGTAATACAAGTTTAATAACCAATCAACTACAGTAGCTTAATGCAAAAAGCTCAATAATTTTTTGATATACGGCCAGCTACAGGTTACAACTGCCGGCTCTTTATTACCAATTATTGGAATTATGTTGTCAATATAACTTAAGGCAAATATACAAACATATCACACAAGGTGGTATTCGGTTTCAGGACTCTCAGACCCTTTGCAAGAGGCAGAACATTCAAGTCAGTACTTCGTAAGTACTCTGACACAAGTTTTGAAGAAAGGCGTTCAACTGTATCATATCATTCACTGGATGGGAATGGGCAGAGCACTTTTATATTGGCAAAGTTAGAACACACCAAACCATACCAGATCAAGAATGTGTCTAGTTTGGTTTCCTGTCTCAAGTAGCGGCCAGTCTGACACCTCCAGAAAACCCACCAGCAAGCCACGAAGACATGAGCTCCCCTTTATTGCTTCCCAGCAACTGGCCCTCACTCACATACAGTCTCTGAGCACACGTCCCCTGCAGACGCCACCAGCAGGACCAGTGAATGATAATAGATCTATTCGCCATAAATCTGGAAATTGTTTAAGCAAGGAGCCATCACCTGTGCCAATGGAGTTCATCAATCAATGTTGAATTATTTGAAGTGATACTTCACCCTGAATCTACTGTTCATTACTTTCACTGGCTAAACCTGGGTACTTACCAGTAATCTGAGAGAAGAAAACCTTTCTCCCATTTATCCATCCCATTGATAGGTACATAAGTCTTCTCCAAGCTAGGGGCTGCAGATGTGGCCTACAGTCCATCATTCCCAGCAAATAGGGCCAATGGGCAATGACAGAAGTTGTAGTCCAAAATCTCCAGACTCTAAGTTAATGTTGCATCTCCCCCAGATTTTGTTAGAACTAAGAACATTAAATACTTTTGCCCTGGGAGGAAGTTTAAGAAAGCCACAACTTCACAGGTATGGGGAGGCATCTCGTTTCAGAGAGTCTGAAACAAGCCCCAGCCTCCTCTCTGAACGGCAAAGAGTGGATCACATCACAAGGCAGCTGTAAGCAGTCCCTCAGCATAACCCCACAACACACAACAGAGGTGTAATAGTGAACTGCACTGCAGGGTTGTTGTATATATTCTTAGCTGAGATAAAAACATTGCAGGGTTGTTGTAGTCACTCACCTTCAGTCAAGCCCCATTTTGCAATTGAGGTCTGATAAGAACAGAGTTGCAAAGAATAGGCATTCTTTGCTGCTTCACTGGTGGGGGGTCTGAGGTGGACACAGCGGTACACCATCTTAATCACATTTAAGTCTCAAATTGCTCCACTGATTTCCATAAGCAGATTTTCTTCTGAAACAGGGACATCTCAATACCTCTTTTCAGTATGACCAGGTAGTGACCTATGCAAATGATTCGCGGTATCCTTTTTATTTCTACCATGTCTCTTCCTCTTCATGTTCCAGCTATACTTTTCCACTTTCCATTTTCCCCTTCCAGTTTTTCCTACCAGTGACTCAACATTCAGTGTCACTGAGGTTGTTGTTATAAAAGTATAGAAGGGCAGCAAGCTACAAGCTTCCCCCACTTCAAGACTGTTCTGTACTTATGCTCAGCACAGCATTCCCCTAAATCTGCTGGTCATGAGTGTTGCATTTTTGGCTAAATAACTGGGGTACTCAGCAGCGAGGGAAAAGAATGCAAGATATTGCACTGTGTTGGTGGCCCTGAGGATCCCAACCCCGATTGCTGAACAGGTGAATTGGCAAAGGTCGTTCAAAGAATGTAACTGAAGCTTAAGAAATACCTCATCGAATGCACAGCTTCTGACACACTGGCCACTGACAAGCCACTGGTAATTTCCAAAGGCTCTTTCAGCAGCTGCTCTCATGCTGGGGAACTTCTTGCAAAAAGAAGCTAGGTTGGCTCCCTCTCATCTGCAAATAAGCAGGTATTTTTATTCAAATTGGCCTCTTTGCATTTAAGATTGCCGGTTGGATGAAAGCTGTAATTTGGTGATTGTTATGCTTAAAATTATTTGTTTTTAACTAAGTTTTTGTGCCTGCATTTTCATTTCTATAGTTATAAAACACCTTGAGTGCTACTTGCTGGTAGAAAGGCAGGGTACAAATAAAACGAATACACAAATGAACTGCTGAAGTTGGCATGCTCAGTGAACATATTGCTTCTATTGAAAGCTAGGAAAAGGAAGTCACCTGTATTGTCCATTGCATTGGAAAGCAAGTAAGAGCCTTCTGAACTAAGACTGAGACCAGTGACAGAATCTGCATGTCCTCTCATTGTATAAGTTAACTTGTTCTGACGAAGGTCCCATACCTTAAAAGACAAATTAATACATGTCTGGTATGTTGAGCTTTAAAGACATACGAGGAAACTAGAAGATAACTGCCAACAACAAGTAAGAAGCTTAGCCTACATTTCCCTTCCCTGCTTGTAGATTTGTTTGTGTTACGGTGTGCTGCATTTTAGGGTTCCAGTTTGCAGCAGGCAGTGAGATTCCAGTAATATTGTGCTTGTGAAACCATCACTTGCTCAGGAATTAATTCTGATACCAAACACACTGGACAGAAGGAAGGGATGGATACACAAAGAGAGCCCATATATCAGGTCTTAGGGGAAAAAGTAGAATTCCATAACCAGTTTATACATTTCCCTTTTCATAGGAGAAGACTTAAAACAAGGCCTTCCAGAGCCTTCTATTCTAGGTGGCTGAAGCGTTTCCACACTTCAGGGTTCCCCTATCCCATGGGATTGGCAAGGAAAGATTGCACTGCCCGCTCATTCTTGTAACAGGAGCTTAATTTTCCTTACTAGAGTAAAAAGAAGTCACTACAGCAGTTACATTTCTTCTTTGCTCTCTCTGATGCTGAGTATTCTAAGTAAGAGCAGGATTACTGTTATGAATCAGTGTTAAATGTTCTAATAAAACACTGAAAATCCACATCCCCTTACCTTGATATCATTGTCTATGCCTCCAGATATGATCTGATCACTGGTATCATTGAAGGTCACTGCTAATACTTGATAGGTATTTTGAAATGTCTGAACAGCAGCTTTTTTCCTGATGTCCCATAACTGGAAGAAAAAGAATTTTCAGGTTCTGGTTTTTGTTGTTAGTTGCGAAGTCACGTCCGACCCATCACAATCCCATGGACAACATTCCTCCAGGTCTTCCTGTCCTCCACCATCCCCCGGAGTCCAGTTAAGCTCACGCCGACTGTTTCAGTGACTCCATCTATTCACCTCATTCTCTACCGTCCCCTTCTTCTTTTGCCATCTATTGTTCCCAGCATTAGGCCCTGGTTTTTACATCCTGTAAATGTAACTTGAAAATAGTACAATTGCAGGATGCTGTTAAGACTGTAACCCTCTTCGTGCCTTCGCTGCATGAAAAATGTTAGTGTAGTGAAGTGGTAATGAGGCCACCCCCACAAGGTCATGAAGCTTCCTTAACCCCACACAATCCCATGCTTATGTATTGAATATGGATGTCTGACCAGTAGAAACACAATGCTGCATTCAGTGGAGACTTCCCAAGTTGCTGGGTTCTCATCCACATTCCATGTATAAATGCAAGGAGCCGGGGAGAGGAAGCCAGGCAAATATCAGGAGCATGCAGCTCCACTGCTCCCTTCCTTTATCAAACCACACAGAGGGAGTTGGCACACAGAAAAGATGCAGAATTACTCCAAGACAACTTAGTCATACGTAAAAGAGAAGGCAAGAAATGTAACTTGTCTTGCAATGGAGCCTTTAAAGTTTTGACTAGTCACTTTCTACCCTTCCCCACCCCATGGACTAAGTGCCAATAAAATGTAAAAGAACTGCCTGGGACGTTATTGGCTAAAATGGAAGCCTTCATATTTATTTAAATATACATCATATATAATGTAGCCCTCTTCTAACCTCCTAGGGAGTATTAGTAAGAGTTATGGCAAATTAAGAGTGCCTGCAGACTCAGAGTTACTACTGTCGACTAATACACATGCTTCCTTTCCTTGTAAAGGTACAATGGCAGGTCCCTTAATCATGTTTTGCTTCAGCGTGAGCACGCACTGTGCATGGGTGCGCTCTTATTTGGATGCGAGGCTGGCAGCCCTTTCCAGAAGGCCCTGCCCAGGCCATTGAATTCTCCCATGATGCTGCTAATGACGATCAGCACTGCAGCAGAACCTATAAAATGCTTAACAGGTTTCACCTTAAGAGTGGTAAAAAAGTACTGCATACCCAATAAGGACATGTGTGTAACAGAACACTGCACATTAAGGGAGACATGCCCAGAAAGACAACAACTTATTATGTAAATGCTTCCTTTTAAAATGTTATATTGCCAAGGAATAATATAAACACCGACCTTTACTGTCCCATCGTCACTGCCTGTACAAACCAACTGAGGTCCACGTCTCGCTGGGTAACAGGAATTTACAAATGATGTATGTCCTTTGAGTCTTTTCACTCTTTCTCCTGTCTCACTGTCCCACACTGCTACTGTTTTATCCGTGGAGGCAGAGAATAGCATGCTAGGAGAAAATATTTTTATGAGCCTAAAAGTCGATTTCAAATGTACCAAAACGTATTCAACACTGAAAAAAATAAACTAGGGACGGATAAAAGAGATGAACAGAAATAGTAACTCCAGCACCTATCAGCTGTCAGTTTTGCTCAAAAAATAATAGACTGTTTGGACAGACAACATGACATTGCCTGCAATGAAGAAGTGGAAGACAAACATACTGCTTTTGTCACTCTCTTAGAATGAACCCAAAAGATGCAATCCTGCACACATTTAGATAGACAAAGGCTCGCTAAGGCCAATGTGTCCCAGCCAGCAGAGGATTGTGCTTTTAGTCTGATTACCCCAAGCCAAAGAATCAACATGTAGTTTTTGTAAAGTGGTAGACATGGAATGGAATGACAACGGAAACTTTGAAAAGATCATCCCAAAGCAGCAGCGTTTTCTCTTTTAGAACTATTCTCTAAGCGATAGCAGATGAGTCTCAGAATGTGCATTTCCCTTCCATCAACAGGATTACACATTTGCTTGCTTCTAATTTCTCAAAGGCATATGCAGAGAACTGTATTTCAACTGAGTCACTGCCACCAATCCACAACACCTGTTACAAGTCTTTAGACAAGCGCTGATGTACAACTCATTCTTACAAAGGACTTTGTTTTAACCAAGTTGCCCTGCAGCGACCCTGTTGCAATTCCTGGCTCAAAGGTTTGTTTCGAAGAAAGCAGGAAAAACAGTAGGAAGTCACGATAAAGGAATAGAACCATAATGAGAAACTTTCTTACTTTTCCTATGTGATTTTGTTTCAAACCATGTGGAGTTCACTTTATATGCGGGTTATTGAATTATGTTGTAAATTTTGAAAACAAACATGAAAACTAACAACAAACAAAGCATGAACAACACAAGCTTCAATAATATACTCTGAAAGGTCACAACTGAACCACTAATCCATATTACAGAGCAAAGAGAAGAGATCAGCACAGTAATGAGAGATGTTGTGTGAAATACTAACCTGCCATCAGTGTTGTAATGAAGCTCCATAACTGCTCCACTGTGCCCTTTCAGAGTGGCATAATTATCACAGTCACCATACACATTCCATAGCACTGAAATCAAAGTGGGATTAAGCGTAAATATGGAAGGCACCACTGCATTTTCCTGTGATGCAGCCTTCCCCAACCATGTGCCTTGCAGACATGTTTGGACTGCAACACCCAGAATTCCCAGTCAATGGCCCTGCTGGATGAAAATTCTGGGAGTTGCGGTCCAAATGCCTCTGAAGGTTGGAGGAGGCTGTAGTAATGCATCCAATGCCCCTTTCAATCTCTAAGTGGCACTGGAAGTCTGAGTAGGTGTGACAGATGTGACAATGTTCTTATTCTCTCTCTCACCCCCCCCCCCCACCAAACCAAAGCTTAACTGATTTGGGAAAAATTTTCTTCCCCTACACACAATTACAACAGTGAAAGAAGTTCATTCATAATCTCCTCAAAGAAAAAGTATTGAAAACCCCGCCATTCCCAGATCACAGATTCATGACCCATAAACAGAGTACCTGGATCAATATCCTGAAAGTACATCTGACATAATGCACTGATATCCACAGCTTCCTTAGCTATTCCATATTAAGTTTTTTTAATGGCATTTGGACCCATGAGTTACTGCAGACATGGTAATTGTTACCCAAATACGCTTCCCTTTGCTGTTAGCCTCTTTGATAGTCTCATAAGGGAACAATTAACACAACTAGCTCTCTGAAAGACTGGTCACAAACTTGTTTATTCTTTTATCATTTAAGTCATTATTTGCATTCATTCAGCAAATGAATTCACTTTGCAAGCACTAATGAACCTTATACAAATGATGTGAAATATGTGGCATTAAAGGAAAGACGAATCCTGGCTAAGTAACTTCACTTAGCTGTCACTGAACTCAGTGGAACCTTGCTTGGGTATTACTAGCTTTTCATATTGATTCAGCAACCAAACTACTCTGGATCTAACCCATTGCTTTGTGCAAGGTAGTCCAAAGCTGCCAATATACTGGATAATGGATAGCAGCACAGAGGAAGTAAAAAGACAGAATTATAATATTAAAATAGGGTGGCAAACTTTGGTTAGATTAACCAATTAGAAATCCTTGCCTAAAAAGGACACTGCAATTAAGTCACACATTTTCAATAGATCAGTTATGTAATAGAGGACTTAAAAACCATAGATGACAGGTACCACCCCAGAAGAGGCATGCCAGTTCACTCTTACCTAGGAGGGAATGCCTTTTTACAAGCAACATTTAAAGAATATACTTTTTTACATCAAATATGGCTTTGATCATATGCAGTTTACTACAAATTTGACTAATTATTTGTTAAAATTAGGTAATAACCCTAATTTCAACAGGGATAATAGCCTGATTTAAGTAAAGAACCATTGAAATAAATGGCACTTAAGTTACTCATAACTAATGTATGGACAGCTCCATAATTTCAATGATTTTAAGTACGTCCAAACATGGGCCAAACTCATTATGTTCTTAAAAGTTCAGAATGTAGACTTACATATCAACCTGTCAAATCCAGCTGATGCTAAAGTGGCTCCGTTGGGATGAAACTTGCAACAGTAAACTTCTCCTTCGTGCCCTGAAAGCAACATTATGGGAGCCTGAAGAGAGGAACATCTTGGGGGCCCCTAAAATATTAAAAGTGCAAACAAGGAGATATAAATGAGCATGCTTCTGTATAGACAGGAGGAAATACTCATTCTCTTAAAGAGACAAGGACAATCCATTAAGGGTTAACTAGATGTCTTGCAAAAGTTCTAGGTATTGATCATTCCAAAACATTTATACATGCTTAAACATTATTTCTAAAGGCAGCAACCAATTCCTACTTCCATGAGTAAAATAAACATCCCAACTGATTACTCAAGTGATACTGGATCAGAATTTTTGTATCATTTATCTATTATTTTCATGGTTGAATTTACTACCCTGTTGTGTTGTTAAATTTGCCCCCAAACTGACAGTCAACCCCCACCCTAGCTACACTTGGTACTTGCTGGCTAGTCTGAGTAACAGCAAAGGAAGTAACAGAGGGGAGAACAAACATACTGCCTGATAGAGGCTTATTTAAGCAGAACTTAGGTTCCTTACTTTCCTCCTTTAGAGAAGAGATCAACTCATATTTATTTGGGTAGGCCAGAAGTGGGGAATCCCTTTCAGCCCAAGAGCTTAGTTGAACTTCAGAGATCCCTTCAGAGTTTACTTTTCAGTGGTGGGTGGGACCAAAGATAAAGGAGGATGCAGCCAAAAACATGAAGTTTTTACTGCTAGTGACTAAGCTTCAGGAGAGACATTTCACCCTTTTAGAATGGGGAATGACCCACAAAAATAAGAAGCCATCAAATGATCAGAAATTGGCAGAAAGGGGGCATGGCCTTCCAGTGAACCCCAGAAGGGTTTGATTTCACCCCAAGCCTGAGCTTATATACCCCTCTGTTCAACAAATCATTGGAGGAAAAATAGCAACTCCAAGTTACACATACAAACTGACCAACAAGAGTGGCACTGCTGTTTTCAGACTTAAGATTGTAGTGCAATTAAAACACCCATTTAATTAAAGCGCCTCACTTATGGAATGCACTCCCCAGAGAGGTCCGCCTGGTGCAGTCATTATTTGTTTTTTGGCGCCAGGCCAAGACCTTTTTATTTAAACGTTATTTTAATTGCTGAATTTATTTATTGATTTTATATTTATGCCAGGATGTTTCCAGTTTTTTATGTATTTGTATTGCTATTTATTTGTGTTGGAAGCCACCCTGAGGCTTTTGTGAATGGGGCGGCATATAAGAATTCCAAATAAATAAATCAGTTTCATGTAGCATTAAGACTAGATCAGAGAAGAAATCAGGAAGCCTTTCTAGGGAGAGCAAATGCGAACCTAGAGCATTACCACTAGGAAGATCCTCTTGCTGATTAACACCCATTATACTTTAGAATGTCATACAGTTTGTTTAATTTACTTAAAGCTTTTATCTCTCACCCTTCACAATGTCTCAGGACACTAAAACAATAAAATAAATAAATCAGATACAGCATCCAATTTGTTACATTAGTACCTTGTTACATTTGTATTACATTTCTCTACTGCCCAGAAGCCAAAGCTCCCATGCCAATTCACCTTTAATTTCTAGTAGAAAATCAGGGTTGGCATGAAAACTGGAACACATAGGTAACACAACAAAAATTAGAGCCATTCTAATTTATTACATTTATAACCCACCTTTTCCCCCTCTTGCAAGCAACCCAAGGCAGATTAAAGGGGCCCCCCCCCCCCCCCCCATTTTAGTCTCACAACAATCCTGTAAGGTACACAGCAGGCTGAGTCATTCACTGGCCCAAAGTCACCCAGAGAAATTCGTGACCAGATCAGGCACTGAGCCCTCAAACCGTCCCAGTCCCGGTCCAGCACTCTAACCATTAGGCAGCACCGCATTAGGCAACTCCCGTTTTTAAACAAATTCAAAAAATATGTAATGTTTATATGCGTGTTTTCTTTCAAGCAAGCGAATCAAAACGACAGGAGGTGCGTGCAGGACACAAACAAGGGCCCCGGCCAAGGCGGCGGCTCGACTCGCCCTTCCCCGGCGCAGCTGGGACACATTGGCCGTGGACAACGCCCGCGAGGAACTCACCGCCTGCAGTAAGGCGCCCGGAGGGGGCTGCCCGGCCCCAGGGCCCGGCCCCAAAATGAGCTCGTGCCGGGGCTTCTTCGCCGCCGCCGCCGCCGCCACCAAGGCCATGTCCGGGCCAGGGGCCTTCCTTTTCTGCGGGTCGATCATGGCTCTTCTCCCCTCAAGCGCCTCGACCGCGGCAACCCAGAAGGCCGCAAAGCGCGGAAGAGCGCGCCGTCCTCTTCCTAATTGGCGGCTCCATCACCAAAGCCCGCCCCCTCACAGTGCCGATTGGTGAACGCCGGGATGAGCCCTCTGAATCGCAGCACTCTGATTGGCTGAGTCTGCTACGGACGCTGTGTGTGTTTCCTGCTTGCCGATTGGTGGGAGGGAACAGAGGCAAGAGCGGCTGCGCGGCGCTAGAGGTAAAGAAGATGGCGGCTGCCTCTCCCTCTCGCCGCCGAAAACGCTTGTCAGTACCCAGAGGGGTTCTCACTCGGCGGAGGGGCGTGTGGACCTCTGGGGGCTTCCGTCTGCCGTTCCCATGGTGCCTCCTCGTTGGCTCCGCTGGCTAGGGATGATGGGAGTTGTAGGCCAAATCTGAAGCGCCACTCGTTGCCCCCCAGGCTTAAGTTGCGGTAGTACGGAAAGAGAGAGAGAGAGGAAGGACAGGGGGTCTCAGGCCCTCGTCCCACGAGTGCCCATTCTGCGTTCAGTGGGCCTTGCCCGCAGGTCCTTGCCGGGCAGCTCGTTGCTGGGATAGCAGCCTGAGAGGGGCTTCCCTACACGTTGTGTCTGAGGACCGCGATGTGTAAAATCGGGCTTCCACAATCCCATGGTTGGGGCTGGTTGGTTGAATTATTATGCATTCACTCTCCTTGAAGCTAAAAATACCCTTCTGTGTATTGCCTTGACTTTAGGGTGTTGCTCATATAATAAGTTTAAGTTACTGTTTTTGCCTTTCAGTGGGAAAAACATTGTTGCCAAGGGATAGCAAACTATTGAAGAAGAGCTGGCCAGGATAAGTGTAACAATTTCATGTAATTTGCACCATTTAAGGCAATGGAAGTACTTCCAGAACTCTATGACATTTTCCAAGGAGAGGTATGTGCTGAAGCTGATGATTTTCAGAGAGATAGAATGGCACATGTTTTGAAATATGTTATACTGTTGATATGGCAGTTGGTAAAACGTAAGAATAAGGCTGCAATCCTTACCACATATTTTAGCAACCAATCCACATTTAAAGTAGTGTACTAACTTCTGATTGTGCTATAATACAATACACTTAAGGCTTAAACTTGAGGCTGACATTTATTCTTTTATAATTGTACAATCTTGAAGAGAACGTATCTGAAATAAGTCTGATAATTTTAATGGTTTAAGCAATGCACATGGCTTCAGTCCACATCCTGGAGAACTATTTGGTTTTCAAATAATACAGCAGCTATTAGTAGATGGGTTTCTTATATTATAATGTCTGGGTTCAGACAAAATGATAATCCACACTTAAGGTTGAGTGTTGGTTGTCACTGAACTGTGAGTTGTTAGTGAAACATGGGCCATCTTGTCTGAATCCAGCTATGCTAACAAATTATGGTGAATAGCCTACAGTTCACAACTCAACAAGAACCCATGGGTCCTCTTAATGAATTGGCCATGGTTAGGAAGTCATGGTTTGTTAGTGCAACCAGTTTTAGAAAGCATGTTGGCCTGCATTTCAGCAGCAACACACAGTTCAATGACAGCTGGCCCTCAACCAATACTCAACCCTTGAGTGTAGATCATCATTTTGACTGAACCTAATCATTATCTGATCAAGGCTCACAGTGCAGGTCTTTGCATGTCTCCTCAGTGTAAATCCTATTGCATCCAATAGAACTTACCTGAAGATAAGTAAGTGTGTATAGGTATGCAGCATAAATAATAGCTAAATAGTATATGACTTTTGAGATAGACAAAAGAATGAGATGGCAAAGGGCCATGGAACAATGGTGGAGTATGTGGTTTCACACAGGGGATCCTAGATTTAGTCCAGGGCATTTCCAGTTAAATTACCACACAGCAGGTAATAGGAAAGACATCTGTCTAAATCCTTGGATAGTCTCCACCAGTCAAGCTAGATGATACTGGGCTAGATAGAAACATTGTATATTAATATGGTGTAAAATTGCAATAAATCTCTCTCTAATGTCAGCAATTGTGTTGTTTTCTTCACAGGTTGCTTCTGTGACAGAATATGGAGCATTTATAAAAATTCCAGGAACAAGGAAACAAGGTTTGCATATTAATGGAAGGAGTTCAATGATGGTTTGCTTTGCTTACATGGTAAATAATTGGCAAAGGATTTTCAAATTCATTAGAAATCAAAATGGGGAAATCACTTCATGGAGCTTCAGTAGTCAGTGTTATATCATTTCTGGGTACTTTAGCAATGTCTTCTTTGTTGATTTCATCTGTCAGAGAAGAATACTTGAGAACTTATTTCCTCTCTTATGTCATCTTAGGCCTTGTACACAAAAGTCATATGTCAAGCTGCCGAGTGGACAAGCCCTCAGAGATGGTAGATGTTGGAGAAAAAGTGTGGGTGAAGCTAATAGGAAAAGAGGTAAAATGTAGCTGAGGATCTTAGCAATATAGATTTCACATCTACAACAGATTGCAAGAATGTATTCATTGTGACAGAATTATGCTTGGGGAACTTTACAGAAGTTCTTATGTTCTTATGCATTTGGAACAACCTTCTTCAGGCTAGCACCTTGCAGATGCTGGACTACAACCCCCATGACCCCTAGCTGCACAGCCACTTGGTTTCTTTAAGAGGGCCTTGAAAAATGTTTTGTTCAGACTTGCTGTTGAATATGTCCGTTGGAGTTACAATTATTTACCTTTGCTATTCGGAATGTTATTAGACCATTTTCATTGTTTATTAACAGTGCTAGTTTTGGTGCTTTCATCATTTGTCTGATTGGTTTTCTTGTTCCCTGCTTAGAAATGTTTTATAATCAAGTAAATGATAGGTGAACAAGAAGAGAATCACCAGATGGTGCTACTTCACTGTCTAGCAAGGTTCTTTTCCATCCCCTACTGCATATGGCCAGCATATCCATGTTGCTCTTCACCATCTTAAAAATAACAAAATAAACTTTTATTACTTAGTTCATGGTGCTGATTCTTCTGAGAAGCGGCAAATAAGCTAATCTCCCACTTACTTTATAGGTTGCTGCCTCCTTGATTTGAATTGCAATTTCTGTGGAAAAATATGCACTGTGCCTCATCCGGACAGTAATATTTGCCTTCTGGATATACTCTGTCAGTCCGTATGCTTGGCAGATGCGAGGGCAGCAGGCAATCCAGACTTCTTTGCCTCCGGTACAGGATGATGGTTTCAGCAGGCTCATAGAAACCCCATGGTTGTAGAAATGCAACAAATGCTTAGGAAGGAAAGTCGTGGTGACAAAAGGAGAGGATGCCTCTCCTGGGAGTAAAGCTGCTGCACTACAAGTAAACATGACTGTCAGTAAAATTATTGTAATTGGCCAGTAGCGTTCTAAAACTGGTTTCCTTGCATGAAGAGCACACCTGATAGTCACAAGAGGGAGTTCTTCCTTTTGAATGATAAATATATAGCGCTTAATGGGGATCATCAGTTATTTGGAAATGCCTGTGATTGTCACAAAGGCTAAGCCTGGGTGTTGCCATAATTGATAAGGTTCTGAGAGTCCTGAACCAAGTTTTGGGACCAGTGTGAGCAAGTCAGCTGGTGTGCTGGCATGATATCAGACAGCTGCAGTTCTGTCCTGGACTACTTCTACTGCAATTCATACTCGGTGAAATACGTCCTGATTCTCTTCTAAGGTCTTTAGATAGCACCAGACATTTGCTGGAGTTTGAGCCCAGAGCCTTAGCTTGCCAAGTTCTGTGAGAATACTAGGCTGATGGTGTCATAGATGCTGGTATTTTATTTACAATACAATTAATGCATTTGCAATAAATTAATATTGTATTAATTATGAAAGCTCAAATGGGAGTGGTGCTACAAGCTAGGCTATCCTTTCTTGCCTGCAGTACCTTAACTCTGCTGTTGGATGGAGCCTAAGAATTGCACCATATCTTAAAACCTCTTTTCTTGTTTTACAGAAGAAAGATGACAAGCTGAAATTATCTCTTTCAATGAAGGTAGTTAATCAAGGAACTGGAAAGGACCTGGACCCTAACAATGTTGCTCTTGAGTAAGTAGAACTCATTGCACTCCTAAAAAAAATCATGGTAAACCTTCTAGGCACAGTTTCTCCTCCCTAAAGCTGTTCTCACAAGGAAAAACTAATCTCAGCTTTTAGTTCCTATTAACTCATGTTGAAAAGGCTGAGAATAAATGGTTGAGATAAATGCATGCTTTTTGTTTTCTCACCGGGTGAAAGGCTCCATTTCTTTATTTGTGATGAGATGTGATAGAATTTCCAAGATATTTCTAACTGGAACAAAACTCCCTTTCTCTTTACCCTTCTGAGTGTGAAATGAATTAGTGTACCTTTTGAGAAAACCAATCTCTGATCCTAGTATAGTAAACTAGAACAGTGCAACCATAAGCGGTTAGCGTGGCATGCCTATTGTGAATAGTCTGTATTCCTTGAGCTAGTTGCAGAAGCCCATCTAGTGAAAGTGCTGGGTGGGAGGACAGGAAGGCAAAGATTGCTTCTGCTGCTCCTGCTGCTTTGCATAGGATGATCGCAAGCTCCCAGAATAATTGGGAACTCAGGATCACCCCTGAGGCCACAGTCCATCAAACTGTGACCTTGGAATGTTGTTGTTGGCTTCAGTGAAACCGGAGTTTTTCTCCAATGACACAATGGTGGTGTATCTAGATGATAACTCTTGTGTCTACACACAGGCAAGATGCACGGAAGAAGCGCTCCTTCAAAGACTACACCAGCCAGAAGATCACTCTAGAAGCAGTGCTGAACACAGTTTGCAAAAAGTGTGGTTGCCCAGGTATGGAAACATCCTATTTTTAAAAATAATACTGTGTACTGTGTGTAGTTGTGGTATAACCAATTTATTTATTTGTTTAGGATTGGTGGAGTTTTAATGTTTGTAAACCACCCAGGGAGCCCTCTGGGCTATTGGGGTGGTGTATAAATGCAATCAATCAATTTTTGACAATTTTCCTGTGCAGACATGAAAGCTAAAAATATTTTGACTTTTTAAAGCAGAAAATAGAATTAGTCTTCTGACTTAACAAAGGGCAGGATTCAAGTTATGGAGTAGCTGAGTTCACAATTAAAGGGCCAGTCATCCCACTTGATGGTGACTCACAGTTAGTGGTGTTTTGGTTTTAAATTGATAGATGTGGAAACCGGCACTAAAATGGCAATTCATATACCAGTCAGCATGTCAGATATATTGTCATGCTCAAACTGAAGCAGAACTGATCTGCTGAAAACTTCAGCCCTTATCCAGTGTGCTAGGGCATAATTCTTGCCTCCTTTCTTGCACTGTCTGTGTCAGCAGTAACACTCAAGCCCTTGCTGTTAGTCCTGACATGTTATTGAGATTACTGTCCTCTCTATCCCCAGTGCTGATGTGGAAAATGCTGGGGCTCAGAGCTCAGATCCTGTTGCCCGACTTGCTAGAAGCATCATATTTATGTGCTGCTAAGTATGTGTAGAGCAGCACACAAGCTTTTTCTGCAAACATCAAAGGCTGATGAGGAGGAAGATAATGGTAAGGAGCTTTGCTCCTACTGTCTGGCTTCCACAGTGTAGGATGGGTTTACAGGTGGAAGAAAGGTCAAAGGCCACTGTGTTCCATTGGTTTAAAACACCTAATGGAAATAATGTCCTGGGAAAAGGTTTCATTGTATTGTGGGCTGCACTGGGCTGGGCTGTGAATGGGGTGGGTGGACTTAATCAACCAAATATAATGCCTTAATATTGTTTGTTACATATTGCTTTGAAGGCCATTTTGCAAAAGATTGCTTCATGCAGCCAGGGGGAACCAAGTACACTCTTATACCAGAGGAAGAAGAAATCCCTCCAGAAGATGAAAAGAAGGTATATCAATCAGAAGTGTCTGTAAAGAAGAAGAAAAAGGTAAAAGAGGAGTTCCTTGAAAAGTTTCATAGGTGCCACTTGACAGAACTGAGTTCACATTTTTGTTGCCTCATTTGTGGAGACTGAACTTAATAAGGTGAATGAAGCGTCTACTGATTTACTTTGATGGTGCAAACAAACTGAGTTTTTCCCTGTTCCTTTGATACTATTTGACAGTTGTAGCTCTGGGTTGTTTTCATGTAGCATTGCAGACCTTCAGAATGTTTCTTCAACTCTAATGTGTCATGTCAACACTCTCCAGGAAAAACAAAGTGAGAAAGTCTGTTAAACTGTTTCACTTGGTTCAGTTCTGTGATGGAGTGGAGGGAAAGGATTACATTGCTACATTATCTTTCTAGTCTTTTTCTCATGTCTTCTGGATGTGTATTTCAGATCAGTGACCTCAACAGTACTGGAATGAACAGAGGTTTAACTGTTGCTAAATACGCTTTGACTTAGCTATCAACAAAATCAATTAAATTCTGTTTCATAATTGACTTGGTCACTGCTAAATGGAGAGTGCTTCACTATTTGGGCCTGGAAGAACGCTACTGGATTTTCTGGTTCAGTACTCTGCTTTTTAATCAATTATTTATTTGTTGCATTTCTACCCAGGTTTTCCTCCAAGGAAAGCTACATGATCTTTCACATCTCCATTTTTAAATTGAGAAAAGCCCTGTGAACTAGTTAAAGCTGAGGATCAGTGACTGGCTTAAAATGATCCAGTAATCTTAATGGATAAGTGTGTACTAGAACCCAAGTCTTCCATATCCAGATCTAACACTGTTTTTGGACTCGGATTATAGAACGAATCTTTGTGAGTGGCAACCCATGCAGGGTTATCATGACAGTTGAACCTCTGTTGTGTCTGGTACCTCTGATGGCTTATGTGAGGACGACAAACCACCCTGACAGTGCATAGTTTGTTCTGGTTGTTTTACCTACAGTGTTGTCATGTCATCTGAACACAGTTGACAGATCCCATTGTGGGTGCTGCAGGCGTGAATTATGCTAGCATGAGCACCTATGTTGATTCCCCATAGGTGAAAGCTGCCTAAGAAGGTTGTGGAATTTCCCTCCTTGAAAGTTTCCATGGAAAAATTAGGCTAGTCACCAGCTCTGTAGTTTAGGTGCAGAACATTTTTGCTGAGTTTAGATGAGCTAAACCGCAGCTATGAGAGAAACCCTTAGCTTTCTCCAGGAGTGATGGAAACCCCCCCCCCAACTTCTGTTGTCACCAAGAGGAGAGCATTAGCGTATTATTTGAATTTTATATGTTTAAATAATAAATCTTATTTGGAAGCAACATAAGTTCACTGCCATATGTAGATTTTATTTTCCTTTCTTCCTCCCTTGTTTTTACTACACTTTCTGTATTTTTCCCTGACTCTAAGCTCTCTTGGATATTCTGTAGGCTGGTAGTATTTGATTTTGATAATACATAGACACCACCATGGTTTTTGGTCTTTGGCATGTACATAAACTGCATATTATCAAGTGATTCTGCTTTTAGTATCTTGGGAAAAGGAAGCATTGTAATTGATTTCTGTTTAACTCCCTGGTGAACCTATTTACATAACAGAGCCTTACTTTCCAGTCTTTAAAACTGGAAAATCTAGAGTAACCATCCAATCCAGAAAGTCTGTCTAGCAGGTAAAGTGCAGAGTGAGGTTAAAGACTATTGTGTTTGATGATGGGCTAGATTTTACGACATAGAGTTATATAGGCTATTTAGCTCTGTAAACTGTATCATTTTGCAAGCGGTTGCCTTTGCTTCTGCTCTGTGTGGGAAGATGGGGAAGCATTATTGCTGCAAAATGCGGCTTAATCAGTAAGTATTAAAGAAGTATATCTTAATAATATTTAACAGACAAACTCCTTTAACAGGAAAAAAAGAAAAGGAAGAAAGACAAGAGTAAGAGTAAGAGTCCTTCTGAATCGGAGGATTCCGTCTGTGGTGATTCAGGCAGTCAGCCAGCCAGGAAGAAAACAAAATGGACTAAAAAAGCCAGTTCATCCCAGAAGAGAAAGAAAAAGAAGCACCATAAGAAGAAGCACAAGGAATGAGATGACAGAGAGCAGGCAGTGCTAACACAGCACATGCCTCCCACCCCTCTGGCCTGCTGGAATCATTTGGGCAAAGGAACAACTGAGCCAGGAAGATTTAGCATCAAAACAAAAGGTTTTCCTTCTTTACCTTGTTGTTTCCTTTAGGTTTTCACAAGGATTTCCCTTATGGTCCCCTAAAGAAAGAAAGGAGCCAGCTGCAGTTGCGCCTTCCCTGTCCCAGATGTTGCACTTCTCATTCTTCACTTTTTTCTTCTGGGCAAGGTGCCAGGGCTACAGCCAGTTCCTCTGAAACAATCCTGAGCTATCCGCCAGAAGCACGTGTCATCCACAATCAGTGCCGTTTCCTTAGACAGGATGACAGCGGTGCATTGATTCGACATCTGCCGTTTATTCTTTGCACACCAGGGAACAGTGGGCATATTCGATATGCTGATTGGTGCAGAACAAATCACTCCACCCCATCTGACCATCCCATTTGTCTGCAGTCCCGAAGGAGGGAACATTGACCAAAAATGGCACACTCGGATTCGAAAACAGAAAGTGAGCCAAGTGGTTAATCCAAGTTACAAAGTAAAGCTCCCTCCCTTTTTTTCCTTATGACTTAATCCATTTATTTTGGTCAACAAAGACAGCTGGTTGCTTTAATAGAGGTCTTGTCTTCATTCTATTGGAATCAAAATAGTCTTCAGGGCATAATTATTTACAGATTTTATTCCCTTCTCTATTAATCTCCTATCTACATGACTGGTTTGTTTATTTCAGGTAGGACCTATGTTTCTGCAGTACAGGAATTGCAAGACAGCATAGGTAGGATGAGCAGGTTGCCATCTTTCAAGCATCTCAGCATCTCAGACCTGCTTGGTTTCAGTAAGCTCATTGTATCATATGCATTCAAATAGTATCTGGATCCTTAGTGCTTTTCAGCCATGCATTGGTTTCTACCGTTGTTCTGAGTGCCTGAGAACAATAATTACCAAGACTTACCCATGCCCATGATTAAATGCTTTTCTTGTTGGCCCCTAGAAATTGTCTTTAGCTGTCCTAGCTTCCTGCAGTCACTAAACATCACTTCAGTGCTGTTTATCGGTTTGATTTCTAGATAGCCTTTAGTTCCTGCAAGGGATCCCCAAGGCAGCTTAAAAGGGCAGGTTTGTGTCATGCTAAGCCACCCTGTTAATAAGCCACTATGGCTGGACGTTCATTGAACGTAATCCATGCTGCTCCTGATGGGGTGGCTCACTGTGGCTTGTTCCCACCTGTCCTTGTTTGCATCTAGTCTTTCCATCAGCTCTGGCACATATTGCAGGTGCTTTGCAGCAGAACATGCTGCCTTGCTTCCTGTCAGTACATGTTCAGGAATTGGTTTACTTGGAGTTGCTGGCTGCTGAAGGAAAATTCTACATCGGATCATCAAATTGAATTAATTTTCAGAGCCTTTCTCAACGCTTTTTTGTGGGGAATGCCATGCAGTGTAGCCATGCTGATACCACAAACGTGTCCTAGGCAGTTTCAGCTTCCATGTCAGAGCTTGTCTTTTTAATGGTCGCTTCACTTTCCACTTAGTACCTGCTGCCACAGCACATCCCTCCAGCTTCTTCTGGCTGTTTATTCCCTTTCCTGCTTTTCTCCCTCTATTGCTACCTGTCACAGCTTGCTACTTGCAATTTTTAGGGACTCGAGGCAAAAGACATTGATGGGGAGGATGGTTGATGTCATGAGCAAGATTGTCAGGAGTGGCAGGGTGTTTTCTGGGCGGCACATAAGAAAATGGTTCTGCTGGATTCAGACGATGTGACAAACCTGTAACAAAGCCATGGCTTCTGAGGGTGGCATGCACATGAAGAACAAGCCACTCTGCAGAAGTCATGCTGTGCTCACTGATCTACCATGGCAGATCGTTATGCTGTGTGAACCAGAACATAGAATACAATAGTCAGAGTTGGGCTGATCCTCAAGCAGAGTGAAGTATTTCCCTGAGACACCAGATTGTTGATTGTATGAAAGGGGAGCCAAGTTGTTAGCAGTTTGTTGTCTTTTTACTGTTAAGGGTGCTTTTTGCTGCTCACCTTGGGACTGCTTCCACCCCTCCAGTGAACAGTGTGCTGTTGGGATAGCATGCGGTCTTTCCACCCCTCCCATGTTACAAGTCTTTTCCGTTATCCGAGGACATTGTGATTAAAACCAACAGTTATAAACCAGATCTGGCTTTTTCACCTTTAGCAGGGGAAAATCAATCTAATAAGAGTTTCTGATGTTAACAAGGAGCTGAGTACACAAATGCTTTCTTTGATTCATGTGCCAGTGCTCCAGAAGAAAACCACAGACTTGGATTTCTATACAGTACACTTTAGGTTTATGTGACTAGAAATTAAGCATGTTGGACCACTGATGGCAACACTACTTCACAGAAATTGCATCCAAGGAGGTGTTGAGGTGGGTGACACAAAGTTACGGTAACTGTTCCAGAACAGGGAACAGGGTGGTTACTTCAGCACAAAATAATTGATGGGGGAAATTATTCAGCTCTTTCTCCATTAACTCCATAGGCTTAGCAGCAGCTACAAACCAGAAGGTCTTGGCCAAAGTGGCAAGAGAAGAGTGCTTCCGCAAGTGGGCCGAGCTCGTCAGATAAACCCAGAGAACCCAATCATGTTTCATCACTTTGGGGGCACTTCCTGGCTTGCTTTTTCTAACTGGCTGAAAAATGAAATTGACCCATGTTTCCATTTTGGGTTCAAGGGACAGAAAGGCAGTCAGTTCTAGACTTAATTGCTGGTTACTGGAGAATTCCCTTCTGCTCAATGATGCTTGCAGGATCCCTTGTGGCTGTTTTGGAGTGCCATGTAGGCTGCTACTTGATTTATTTTCACTGATTTGCCCCCCTTGTTTTGTTCTAGGCCAGTTTACATTGAGAAATATATTCAAAATACAATCTGCAGGACCGTGGAACATAAAAACCAAGTATCATAGCAGCAGCACTCTAAGTATAAAAACCTGGAGTGGTGCCTTTCCTGTTGCTTGAATGAGAGCGATTTGCACCAGGCAAGCGAGCAGAGAAAGGGAATTCCACACGCCAGCACTGAGGAAAGCCCCCATTTGTCCACTTCATGGCGAAGATTCCCAGAAAACAGGTTTCAAACTAACCTCACTGCATGCACAGGATTTGATGGGAGCTGGAGAGCTTCAAATAAGTACTTGAACACTCAAAAATGAACCAGATGTCAATGAAGATCTTTACATTGGCTTTTCGCAACAATTGTCCCAGTTAACAACTAATCAGTAATTATGTAGGGCCTTTAGGTGCTGTCCCTTTTCCTTCCTTTTCTCTCCAGCCCCTGACCATGTGGTTGTCCCTAACCACTGTTGCGGTTTATTAGTGTTTGAAAGAAAAGGAAATGCTGGAGGGCAGGGCTGCTTCTGATTTCAGATGTTGTTAAGCCCTACCTTTGATGACGTAGCACATGAACCCTAACTCATTCTTGCCTCTTTTACTAAAACAACATGGAAATCCCCTGCAAATCCTTTTCCCTATTGTTTTGTTCATTAATAACCGAAAACTGAAATTCTTGAGGGCTAATGTGGTGACTAATACAATGTTCCATGCCCGAATAGAATAGCAGAATGCATACACCACCAGGGTTAAAAGCTTGCCTCCACCGAATGCATGCACTTTGCTTTGTGGGAATACAAGGAAGCTGAAATTACCATGCCAGCTACAAACAAGACACTACTTCATTGTCTTAGCAGAGTCATCCGTAACAGATTTGAACTTGTTATCTGCTATAGCCCTGAGCTCATTTGACTTCTGATCTTCAGTGTCAAAATTTCCTAGCTCTGGGGAGATCTCATTCTTGTAGCTATCTGACACAGTTGGATTCTGAGTCTTTAGAATAATACCTGAGTAGATGCACAGATTATTTGAATGTACCCTAACATTCTCTAATACAAACTGCATTTCACAACTATGTATACATGTCGTTGATGCATTTGTAAGGATTTAACAGAGGTTTTGCATGACTGCCTTATGCTGGCTAAAGTTTCTCTGTGTTTACATTAGAGTCAATGCCTATTCTGGCTATTTTCTAAACAAATACTGGCTCCCAATCTTTGCCTAGACACGCCAGTTCTGTTCCTTTCACTTCCGGAGCCCTTGCTTATGTTGCTGTATCAAATTCATCGGAAAAAGTGACGCTGCTAGTGTTTGACCTTTGGGCCAAAAATCACAGCTCCACAGACTGCGGGAATCCCATCATCAAGTGTTACCAGGCCCATTTTCCTGTATCATACACAACATGCCTGCATACAGCAGTTGCTGGGGAGCAGCTGCAGTCCTATCTGGCTGGAGGAGCCCCGTGTGGATAGAATGCTGGACAGATGGACCCTTGGTCAGATCATTTCTTATGTCACAATTTTGACAGAAGCAAAGAACACTTTACCTGTAGAATTGACCCCATGCCCTTGTAGTCATTACCATCAGACAAGGATAAAGCTGCAACATTATTTCATATTTACATATCGGAGACATAGGAAATCAGAGCCCTGGCAGTTTGACCATCTCAAGCATCCGTTTTGGAAGAAAAGGAATCGCTTACATTGAGAAGGAAACGAGGCCCACTAGTCGTAATCCCAAGCCCATCAAAACACAACCAGGCAGACTGTTATGTAACAACTGCTTCAGTTTATTTTCCACCCCCCACCCTTCAGTATTAAAAAAAGCAACAACAACAAAAATCCAAACATCGAGTTAACAGGCAATTCTGAAGAGAGTTCAAGTTGGATACTGAATGGGTTCAGAAGTTGCAGTAACTGTACAAAAACACTGGCGGGGGGAACCATGCAGGCAGATTGGCCACACTTTTGGCATTGAATAACCAGTTGGAGAAAGCAGACGTGGCTCTATTCTGCCTTCTGGTAGGTGCGAGTGCAGACCACGTTGCCCATTGTTAGAGTCTGGAAAGACAAAGCAGGCATGAGAATAGAGAGAGCTGCCAACCCGTCGAACGGCTATTCTTTCAAGCTCAGGGTGCAATTCTAGGCATGTTTGTAATATCACTACATTTATTATTCTTTACATTATATCTTACATTTACATACTGCCCTATAGCCCAGAGGGCTCCCTGGGTGGTTTACAGTAAAATACAATAAAATCAACAGTACTTCAATAAAGCAACTAGTAATACAGTAAGCAATTAAAAACAGCACAAAAATCTGGCAGTTAATGGCAAAAGGAGGTCAAAGCAAGGCATGGAGCAAATCAGAAATAAAAACAATGTTAAAAACCAATATAGTTACAGTAACTCCTGCAAAATAAAAAGGTCTTTGCCTTTACATCCCACTTTTCTGCTTGAGCGGAACTCAAGACAGCTTACATAGATGCATTTTATCCTCGCAGTAACGGCAACCCTGTAAGGTGGGTGACGCTGAGTCTGTGACTGCCCCTAAGCCATGGTGAGCTTCATGGCTCGGTGGGGAATAGAACCCAAACTCCTGAGACCCAGTTAATATGACCGGGGGCCCCTTAGTGCTTTAGAGCTGCATAATACTACACAGAGTAGGGAACAGTACTTAATGGGGGCAGAGAGCATACGTTGCTTTAAAATGCTCCCCGTGTCTGTTGCAATAGGGTATCCCGTTAGTAGACACCCCTTATTTGCAGTAGTTACTGCCCCGCCCCCCAAAAAGCAGCTTCCATTTATTAACACAGGCATCTCCTGCCTGAAGACTTACAATTTAAAAGACAAGGCACACAATGAAAAGGGATTCAGAGGGAAAAGGTAAAAAAGCGAATTGTGGCCACCAGTCCTTAGTTTCAAAGTTTTCATAGGTCTCCTTTCTGGCTGGGAAAGATGACACAACCTCTCTACATCTGTTCCTTCTCAAGCCAATATACAGGGTTAGGTTGGTCTTCCCTTGTGATTATGCCTATCCTAGGAGAGGGAAGCAGTTTTTCAGTGGCCCTCGCTTCTCCAGCATCGCATGAGGCCCAAGCTTGCGGACACAAGGAACGCACAGTTGGAGCTTTGCCAACACAGGACAGGCAATGCCTCTGTCCCACGCAGAAGTTAAGAAAGTTACCATCTGCTCCCTGATTAGTCTTCCAGGTGACTCAACTGTTATCTCTCTTGTTCAGGTTTAAATTGATAGCTGAATCAACATCACAAGAAGGAAGTATTGGAAGTGATGGGTGTGGGGCTTGAATTCACAGAATAAAACATAGTTTAGGAAAGCTCCATTAAGGAGAGGGGGAACTCCAGACCAGCTGAGGATTGAGTGTGCCTAGTGGCCATGGAAATTAACAGACTGTTAGGAAGAAAACAATAGAAAACAGGATCAGGAAGCAATGGATTATTCTGCAAGAGAATGTTACTAACTTACAGGGATAGCAAACAGGCCCAGGCCAGACTGCAACTTTTTGTTGCAAACCCCACTTCCAATATGACCAGTTGCAACAATCAACTTTATGTTGCAGAGCTAATTACAGAATAAACTAAAGAATTCAAAATTCTCATTTAATCTGAGCTGTTTGCCCATGTTGCAGGCACGTTTTGGCATGACCAAGATGCTTGGTTTCGATTAGGGGGGAAAAAGCAGTCACTAACAGTTTTCTCCACAATTTTTAGCTTGCCCATATGGGCTGCGAGTTCAGTAAACAGCAATGTACTTTGACCGTCTTACCAAAATTAGTTTTCCATCCTTCAGTTCTCGGACAAGGGTGGTCTCTTTTCCATCCCATTTCTGCACATGAACGAGTTTCCCTCCTTCTAATGTCACAACAGACTGGAAAAAGAAATGATGCTGATTAAATGACCCCCAGAGAACCATAGCGATTGGACTTCCTGACCCCAGGGTCTGTGCACATGTGAAGAGAAACAGGGCCATTCAGCCAGGCCTGCTTAAAGTCTGCTTGGATTCCCTTCCTGCCCCATCCCTTTTTCCTTGTGGGACTTAAGTCTTTTTTTATTGTAAACCTGCAGGTAAGAACTTCTTGGTTCCTTGGTTATAAGGTACCTGATTGGCCTCCCATCCCCCAGTTATTCATTTATTGATGGAGGAGTGGGAAAAATACTTCAACTACACAAGTGAAACACAAAGGGAATAGAATAACTCCAGGCTTGAAAACGTCCTTGTTTCCACCCCGCCCCCCACCCCCCATTGCCAGCCTTCTTATCTGCACATGTATTTGTCAGTGACAACAAATCCGTGCTGCAAAGAAAAACAAGTTCTCCTCTGGGTCACTCAGAAGCAATTCATATTTAGCACTAGGCAAGCAGGCAAACTGATCTTGTCAAGTGAGAGCTAGGACTGAAAAGCACGTGTTGCATTAAATGCATCACTTGGGCATTGCCTGATTTTTAAGAACTGACACTTCAGAGCCTCCTGAAGGATGTGTCCAACTTATGGGGACAGCAAAGCATTGGGGGACCAGAAGCATCTCTCTGTTTGAGGCTGTCCGAGGTTGGAGAGCTGGCAGTTCAATTTGAGATGAGGGTGATGTGCAAGTTCCAGGCTTTGGAGGGCCTATAGGCAGGGAACCTTCAGCTGCCTCCCTCCCTTAGCAAATCTGCCTTTCCACCACCATTGTCACCAACTGCTCTTGCTCCTCATCCTTCTTCACATCTTTGGTGCCGCTTGATTGCTTGCACAGCAGAGAGACAGGGAGTGGGCAGATGGTAGTAACTGCTCCTGCTGTTCCGTCTCTTCACCACCATTGTGTGGGCCAGAGTGAGAGCCAGTAAGATTGCTAAGCTGAAGAGGAGCATTGTCAACGAGTCCCTGCTGGGGTGGAGGCCCTTGGCAGGCACCCCACCATGCCCACGCTTGTGACACCCTCTCCTAGTTTCTTTCACCCCAGCCACTGTGCACGCTTCTGACCACCAGATTAGCAACTGCTTCAGAAATGTAGCTCACTCGAGAGCCAAGCATGCTGCCAGCCCCTGGCCACTGAGCCTCAGGCCATCTGTGCAAAGAGCCATGCCCCTTCTCTAATGCAGGAACTTGTGGAAGCCAGATGTGACTCTCTGGCTCGTTTGTCCTCTGGCTGCCTGCCAGTCAAACTGATTTGTTTTGAAGGTCAAACCTGCAGCTTGTCAGTAATTCACACATGCTTTCCTCCTAAGAGGAACCAAAGAGATATTTCCATTAGCCCTTCATTATGCTTTCAACAGGGCTGCTGTCCTGCCACTTAAAATATATTTTTAGCAGAATAATCATGGGACTTTTTATTGGGGATAAATAGAATTGCCCATTAGCAAATCCTTACTGTAGGTGCCTTTTTATGAATAATGGTAGAACTGAGAAAATTTACCACTTGAATGTCCAAAGTGGCCACTTCAAAGGAAAGGCCAGCATTAATCTATTTTCATTGTTTGTTCCCTAATCTATTAACAAACCAGAGCCAAGCTGAATTTAAAAAATGAAACTAGGGTGCCCTCCAGTTCAATTGATTTGGTCTCAGTGTTGTCTTTTTCAAAAACCTTCTGCAGCACTACTCTTTGTGCAGCTGAACAACAATGGGCGATTTCTGTGCTGAGTCTTCATGGAAATTCCTTCATGATTGCTGCTCTCTGTAAGTGGCCATCTCAATAAACCCATTCTAGCAGTTTCCATGTCCTCCAGAATGAGGTCTCTGGAAAAGCGAATGGGCCTTGGTTACCCATTCCAAAGCAACACACCCCAAACACTTTGCATTACAACAGGAGTTATTCCAGTAGGGTTAAAGCTAGTAAAACATCACAGAGCTTCGATTTACAACTGCTTTTTTAAAAAGCAATTTAAAAAACCAGTAGTACAACCTACTTTTACAAACCAGAAAGATCAAAGTCATGGCACTGGAACAAGTTTATCTAAGAGTGGATAAAAGAGGGCTGGCTTCCTGAGGTAATCCAGGGCTCCAAATTAAGGCCTCCATTAGTGGAAGCATTTACATTTTTACTCAGGAATAAATTTCCCAGAATTCAATGGGGCTGACGGTCATGCAATTGTGCATAGGATCTCCACTTCAGTCATCAAGCCTGGAACCAGGGATGGGAAACGCCTGATGGTTTGGCCTATAACTACCTGAACAGTTATGCAAGAAAGGGAAAGTACACCAAGACTGCTGCCAAAAGGATGCCTCAGACAGTCCACTGTTCTTGCAAACTCCACTTGTCCCAAATTAATATCCAGTGGGGACCAGATGGACCCTTGCTCTGACCCAGCACAGGTCTCCTTAAGTTGTAATGCAGCCCCACTGTGAAGCTGAAATGGCTTCATGCACATTCTGTTGTGCAGAGCACCACTGATAAGGACTGGTGGGATCACAAGCCATGGCTGTCCCCCAGGAGTCGTCCTGGAAAACAAGCCAGCCTTGTGAATAAGAAACCAGCAAGGGATCAGCCACGTTCTTCTGCTCTGTGCTCCTTTTCTCATAGCATGCCTTCACCTCACTTTTTTCACTCTTCCCAAGCATTTCCTCCTAAGCTCTCAGGAGACAACCGAGAGGTCAAGAGAACTGGAATGCATTGTGCTGTGCTGGTTCTTTCCTTTGCAGACTCAGAGCCACAGGGAGAAGCCCTGAGGGCAAAACCCCACAGCACAGCCCTGTATTAAAGACCATTAAGTACACTTCCTTGCAGATCATCTTCCTCTGCTGCTTGAGGAACTGCATTAGCAGCTGCAGAGTAAGGTCCTAAGGAGGGGCCAAAAATGCAGGCAACTGTGTTGATCCATCTTCCCCTCACTTTTTGGACCAGAATGCACAACCACACTAGCTACTTACTTACTAGAATTATACCCCTCCTTTTTCTTCCAAGGAACTCAAGTGACGTACACAACTCTCCTCCTCCTGTCAATCTTATCCCCACAGCAACAACCCTGTGAGGTAGGTTGGGCTGAGAGCCTGTGACTGGCCCCAAGCCACCCAGCTGGCTCCACGGCCGAGCGGGGACTCGAACCCAGATCACTGGAGTCCCAGTCCTGTGCTCTTAAGCACTATGCCACACTAGCTCTCTCTTGTGCTTGATTTAAGCCATAGGCTGGTTTCTATTCAGATCATACCAATCTTTCACCTTTTGCTCAAGCTGCAGCTGTGGCTTGTCATGTCATCCAAATCCAACAGAGGGAACATACACCACCCCAACCAGACTCAGTGTCAAGAGAACCTGCATCCCACCCAGCAAGGGCAGTTATGCTAATTAGATGACTCATGACACACCAGCAAGGGAAAGCAAGCAAGCCACCATAACCTCTTTCCTTCCGTGATCATCAGAATCAGCTGATCCAGCATCCTCAAACTGGTTGGCAAGGGGCCGATAGCAGGTGCAATTCAGCAAGAGCTAGGAGGATTTTGGGTCACCACTCCTATTCTAGATGAACATTATTCTGACCCCATACAAGGCAATGTCCTTGCCTAACCCATTAGTGATTCCTGAAGGAACCCACCAGAATTACTATCAAAGCTTTGCCCGGAACTCTTACCTTGACGTGTCTGTCATCTGCTGTGGTCTCATCAAATTCTTCTTCCAGTTTGAAAGTGATCTCTGTGTTCTTGAATGTGCTCTGTGTCTTGATGGTCATCTGTCCACCATCATATTCAATAATGGTGGTAGGTTTGGTCAGGTTTGCGATCTGTCTTGTGGCAAAGCCCACCTCTGCAGGAAAAGACATGCAGACCAAACATTTATATGCCCCCATGAAAAGGAGCCTAAACATCTTGGAAGTCGGGACAAATGAATGGCTGTGCAGTTGTCATGCTCGGTGTGATCCTTTGGAAAACCTGGTCATTGTCGGTCAAAGATCCTGCCCTGAGGATCTCCAGAAGGTTTTGAGACTCACCAGCACATGTGTGCAGCCACACACGCTTTGCTACAACTGAAGCAACGCTAAAGTGCTGTGTGTAGTTTTGGAGCAGAGAACCTGGGCCTGACCAGGTGTTGTTGGACTGCCAAATCCTATCACTGAGCCATAGTTCCTCCTACCTGGTGCTGCTGGAAGCTGGAATACAATATCAGAAGGGCTGCAGGTTTCCTACCCCCACATTAGGAATGTCTCCACCCGCTGCAGACAAACAGCCTAATTTAGGCAGACTTCTTTTCTACTTTGCTACATTATCCTGTTTGTGCTTATCTTCACTCAAATTACCCAGAATAAACCTGGCTCACACAATACAACAAAGCAGAGTTGAATGCGAGTTGTCATTGAACTGTGGGCTGTTGCTGCATCATGGAGTGACTCCAGTCATATTAACAAACCATTATTTGTAAAGCATTAACAACCCACCATTCATAACTCAACAAACCAGTTTTCTTCATGGCTGATTCTACAGATCACAACAGCCCATGGTTCAACAACAACCGTCACTCATCCCATGCTCAATCTGTACTTTGCTTTGTTGTGTTGTGTGAACCCAGTCAAGGTGTGATACAAAGCAAAACTTCTGTTTGTCCTGAAAATGTAAGGGAAAAAATAATCTTACAAATGCTGAAATAGAAGGTCCATAAAGGGTGGCTTTTCAGACATGTATCCCATATACCAATGGTAAAAGAAGAGATGTGAAAGGAAACATTGAATTTAAAGATTCTGCAAGAGGCGGTTGCAACTAGTTTGCTTCTATGAATGGGTTGCCCTGGGAAAAGGCACAATGTTACAAAGAGGTTGTACAATGTGGAGCAATCTATTGTTTTGAAACACAGGGAGACTGACTGCCTTATGCCAAATCCCAGGCTGGCAGGGGGGCGCGAATGTGGGACTAGGACTTGGGGGAACCACATTCTAGTCCTCACTCAGCCGTGATGCTCAGAGGATGGCACTGGGCCAGTCACTGACTCTCAGCATAGCCTTCCTCACAGGGTTGTGGTGAGGACAAAATGGAGAAAAGGTTGGTTGCGCAAGCCACAGTGGATTCCTCACAGGAGGGAAAAGGGGCAGGCTATGAATTTAATAAATAAAGAGCATCCAGCTGCTGTAATTATACCACAAGCATTCTAACATGAACAGAAAAACCTGTTTTCAAATGGTTTAGCAGAAAAGCTTTCTGTTCAAGGAGTGGGGTTTCTTGGTGATATTTATATTGCTTTCTACCGATGTCAATTATTGCTCTAAATTGGTTTTGCTATTTTAAAGATCACTCTGCCAGATTTCATTACATTTCTATAGTTTATAGTTGTGGTTAATGAAATGTTGACATTTTTGCCTGAAAGTATTTCAGAAAATCAGAGCAGATTTAAATGGAAGGTGGAACTTGGGAGATTCTTTTGACAAGCTGGGCCTCTTCAAATAGTCCTGGGAAAGAACATAAGGAGTGGCCTTTCCTGGCACTTAGAAACTCAGTGCTGAAGGCTGAAAAGAGGTCTAGATATTTACATATGACAAGCTCTCCAACACAGAAAGTAGGAGTTTGAGGCCCATCTTTAACCTAATCAATGTTTTGGCAATGCCCAATAGCTTCTTTGGGAAGGAGAAGAGGAGGGAATAGCTCAGATAGATTTTGTGATACAAAGTTCCTTAGTATTTATAAATATGCATGCTGTTCTTGACTATCTAATTCTTAGAATTTAACTTAAGGTCAACACAAATGGATTTCCCATGCTCTTCTGGCAGCTAAAAGACCAAAACTATACCATGGAAAGATAATCACCCACCTGCACTAACAGCGGGTGGGGGACTTAATGAAATGTGTGAGTTTTAGGCATAATTTACTATTAGACAAAGGATAATTGAGCTGCCCTTGTTGAAGTTTGTGCAGCATCATTTTTACTATTAGTTTCCTATGTAGAAAATATAAAGACTTATATAATATGTTAAGTACACAGTTATAGATATTAATTTTTATGTAAGGAAACTAACATTTGATTTGATTCATCTTTTCCCTCCATCCCTTTTCACTGTTGTTACTTTGTTTTGAAACACTCAATAGAAATAATTAATGTAGTAGGGTGAGACTTTAAGACTTTCTTGATATTTTTATTCCTATGGGAGTGGAATTGCCATGTTTTGCTATTAATCTAGTTGATATTTTACTTCCTCTAGTCAGAAGCTGACTGCCTATTGCAGATGTGGGCAGAAAGGAATTTGCAGGTGCATTGACTTCAGCTCCCAGTGTTCCTGACCACTGGCTATGCTGGCAGAGGCTTCTGGGATTTGGAAGTCCAGAACATCTCAAGGTCTTCTGCTCACACCTGGCAAACCTGGCAGAAGGGATGTAGGTGCTCCTTTGAGCCTCCTGGGACAAACCTTGGCATTCAAGCCTCCATGAGGAAGACCAGCAACCTTGTTTGTTAGTTTCTATAGCTCTGACATGAGTGAGATACAGTGCTAATATGGCAGCCTTCTCCAGTACCCACCAAATATGTTGGATTATAGTTCCTGCTGGCTGAGAATGATGGGAGTTGTGGTCCAACGCATCTAGAGAGTGCTGGGCTGTGAGAGAATCAGTAGAGTTGGGAGGGGCCAGAAGGTCCAGCCCCCCTGCTCAGTGCAGGACTTGCAGTTAAACCATCCCTCCCAGATGACTGTTCAGCTGCACCCAGAATGCTTCCAGCCCACAACTTCCCTAGGTAACTGGTTCCATTGTTGTACGGCCCTAACAGTCTGGAAATTTTTCCTGATCTCTAGCCAGAATCTGGCTTCCTGTAACTTAAGCCCATTATTCTGTGTCCTGAACCCTGGGATGATCGAGAAGCGATCCTGTCCTTCCTCTTTGTGACAGCCTTTCAAGTAATTGGAGAGTGCTTTTCTATCTCCCCTCAGCCTTCTCTTCTTGAGGCTAAACATGCCCAGTCATTTCCATCTCTCCTCGTAGGGCTCAGTTTCCAGTCTTGTTGCCCTCCTCTGAACACTTTCTAGCTTGTCTGCATCTTTTTTAAACTGAAGTGCCCAAAACTGGACACCATACTTCAGATGAGGTCTAACCAGTCCCAAGTAAACGGGAGCAAATACTTCATGTGATCTGGAAGCACTACTTATATTAATGCAGCCTAAAATAGCGTTTGCACTTTTTGCAGCCGCATCACATTGTTGACTCATATTCAGCTTGTGCTTTACAACCATTCCAAGATCCTTCTCACTTGCAGTCCTGTTGAGCCAAGTATTCCCCATCGGGTACCAATGGATTTGGATTCTTTTCCTAGGTGCAGAACTTGACTTGGCATTTCTCCTCCTGAATTTCATTCGGTTGTTCCCAGCCCAGTGCTCCAACCTATCAAGATCACCTTGAATCTTCTGTCTTCCTGGATATTAGCTATTCATTCTCTGCACTTCCTCATCCAAATGATTAATAAAAGTGTTGAGGAGCAGTGGACCCCGGACTGAACCCTGTGGCACCCCACTTGTTCCTTCTCCCCATTTAGAGAAGGTGCCACTGGAGAACACACTTTTGAGTCCAACTCTGTAGCCAACTGTGGATTCACTTGATGGTTGTTCTGTCTAGCCCACTTTCAACTAGTTTGCTAAACAGGAGATCACGGGGTACTTTATCAAAAGCTTTGCACAAGTCAAGATAGATTATGTCCAGAACATTCCCACAGTCCATTAAGAAGGTTATCCTTTTTTTAAAAAAAAAATCAGATTACCCTTGTAGGACTGTTATTGAGAAATCCATCTTGGCCCCTGGTAATCACTGCATTGCTTTCAAGTTGTTTGCAGACTGACTGCTTTATAGTCTGCTCCAGAAACTTCTCGGGGATTGAGGTCAGACTGACTGGTCTGTAGTTCCCAAGTTCTTCAAACATGAGAAAAAGAGTTTCTTGGCCAGCTCTCCATCCTACATGTGGCAATCTTATGCCCACTGATTAGGGCACAAAACCCTAGCGCTGATAGTAAGGCAGACTTCTGAGTAAGTAAACATATTGTGCATACAGTCCTCCTCCTAAATGACTAATTGTTCCACTGCTCCACATGGGTAAATCTTGTAATTCTATCCAACTAGTATTGTGAACGACTGACTTAGTATTATTTAGTCGATCTCCAACCTGCCCCATTAACCACACGGCTCTCTTTCAGCCATATAACCCCTAGCTAGTGTTGGTAGGTGCTGTAAGCGAGAACATCTGGAGAGCCGCAAGCTTCCCACCTGGGGGCCAGCAAAATCCGAGTGGGGAGGACCCGGTTCATTTTGTGTCCAAGGCTCTGCGGCCAAAGCCAGAGGAGCAGAGGCGGGCTGCTCGGGCCAGGGCCAGGGCCAGCCAGCGCACCCCGGGAGGGTGGAGGCGGGCTGCCGCCGTCCAGCGATCGTCCCCGCCTCTCCCCGCAATCTCGGTCGGCGCCGTGCACGGGGCGGGTGCAGCGGCGGAGCGATCGCAGGCGCCTCTGCTCCGCAAGGGCTCCGACTGAATTGAATGGAGCTTGCTGCAGAGGCGGCGTTTCAGGACGGCGCCCTGAATCTCCGGAAAACCTCCTTCCCACCCCACCCTGCTCTCCATGGCCATTTGCTGAAATCAGGGCGCGCCTGGGGATCTCTCTCGTATCTGCCCCCCCCCCCCCGCGGATGAGCCGGCTTTTTGCTGCACTCACCCCTCCAATCTTTCTGGCTGACGGTTGCCCCCCCCCTTCTCCAGACATCCCGTTTTACAAATTAGGGTGTCCTTAAGAGACAGGACTTCAGAGGCACAGATTTCCGAGCACGTGCCAGTCCCTTCGCCCCCGAGGGCCTAAGCCCGAGTTCATAATTCTCAGATAAGCCGCCTATAGCACCGCCCCATCGAACCACAGCGATAATAATGGCACATCATCACCCCGCCCGAATATCGCCTGCTCATTCTTCCCTCGGTAAAATGCACACGTGGCTTCGCTCCCATTCTCTCTCCAAAGAGGCGGCTTGAGGCGGGGCAAACGGCGCAGCCTCGCCTGATCGGATCGGCAGGCGCCACCTGCGCCCGCGCCGGTGCAAATCGGAGCGCCCAGGCGCGTTTTGCGCCCCAGCTGCCCTCGACTCTCGCTCGCGCCGAGCCACGGAAACGAAAAGGAGCAGGAACGCAGCGCAGGCCTCCATTCATTCGATCCCCACGTGGCTCGCCTGCGGTTCGACTTCTTCAGGGGAGGGAAGCGCTTGCCGGGGGCCCGGGAAGGGAAGCGAGCGGCGAGCATCCCGTGACGCTCCCCTGCAAGGCGAGCATTTCCCGCTCGCCGGCCAAGGCTGGGTGGGGCGGAGAAAGAAAAGCGGCAACATGGAGCGGGGAGAGGCCCCGCCGCTCTGGGTGCCAGTTCCAGCCGCCTGCAAACGCGCCCTTGGTGTTCCCCGAGGGGATCGCCCCAGAGGACGTGCAAACCGGACCATGCGGATCCGCGGGCCTTACCGAGCGCTTTCATGTAGCCGTCGAAATTGTGGCTCTCGACGAGGTTCCAGACGCCAACGAAGGCTTCAGCCATGGCGGGCGTCTTCGGGAATGTACGTGCGTGCAGCCGCGGAAAACGGAGCGAGTCGAGGAGCCGCGCGCGCCTGTGCGCTCTCTGTCTCCAGCGAGGCGGGCGCCCGTTTTATGGCACGCTTTCCCCCCCCCCCCCCCCCCGCAGGCGCGGCCGGTCTCTTTAAATAGCTCGGTCGCGCTGGATCACATGAATGGAAAACGGCGAGCGATGGGCAGTTCTGCCGTCACACCTGCAAGGGTGGGAGACGTCCTACGGGCGGCGGCGGGTCGTCGCGCCCCCGCCGCCCATTGGCTGCCGCGCCTGCTTCAGCCGCTTGCGCGCCCCGCCCCGCCGCCCCGCCCCGTCAGGAGAGAGCCTGGGGAGGGGGGCTAAGTGCAACCACCGGCGCAGCCCCACCGAGGGCCCCCCAGAGGCCGGCCGACCAGCCAGGCAGGCAGGCATCCGCTGGGCGCAGCGTGGTGGTCGTCGCCGGCGCGCGCGCTTCTCCCGTGCTAGTAGGCAGGCTGCTGCGGTGGACGCTCGGTGCGCCAAGAAGCAACCGGAGACCAGTGCAAATGGATGCAAGCTGCATTTTTGCAGGGCGGGGGGGCTGTTAAACGTGGTGTGTCCCCCCCCCCCGCCCCATTGTGCCTTCACAGAGAGGGACAAGAGAGACAGAGAGAGAGGGGTTCCAAGGGCACAATCCTGTGCTTGGTTAGGGAAAAAAGCTAGAGAAACTTGGTCATTGTAGGATCTTTTTTGCTGTCAAAACAAAACACGTCAAAACATAGGATTGCATCCTGAAAGTGCACTTTTGTATGTATCAGAAATGGATCTCCATGACTAAAACAAGACTTATTCTGGGGTCACTGAGCAGAGCAGGCTGCCATTTTGGGTGCTGCACTCAAATACCCATCCTCCCCAGCCAGCAGGGCCAATGGTTGGCGGTGATGGGTGCTGCCACCCAGCACCCTTTGGAGGGGTGCAACTGAGCCCCCCCCCCCCGGAGTTTCAGATGCTGCGGGGAGTTCCATGGTCGGGTGTGGATTTTCCACCGGTCTTCCAGTCTGGCTGGTTGGTCCTCACCTGTGCATGTCACTGCCCCTTGCCCCACTCCAGGTGTTTCCGCCCCTTTGTCTTGTGTGTCAACAGGCGTGCTCCTGGCATGTGCATCCAGAAATGTGTCAGTCCTGGTGCTGCAAGACCAGGAGGCAAAGTGGGAGGAGCAGGAGAGAGAAACACCCTTGTTTTTTTTATTTAGATTAATAACCTGCTTTTTAACATTTTGATTTTGAATATTTTGATTTATTGACATCCCGCTTCCGTGACAATAGCCTTCCCACAAGCTGGTGCCCTCCAGAGGTGTTGAACTACCATACCAGCAATTTCCAGGCAGCATGGAGGATGATGGGAATTGTAGTCAATTGCACCCTGCGAGCACCGGTTCAGGGAAGACTGCATGAGAACAAGGCTTCTGGCATCTATTTTGTTTTTGTTCTCCTAGAAGAAGCTGAGCTCCACCAACCAGAGGCAGACGTCCAGAATCCTGAGCCCAAGAAGGAATTCTGAGTCTCTGAACAGAATGGGTCTTGTCGCCCTCCTGCACAAAACCCCACGGCCAGTTCCCCAAAGCCTTCTTTGTTTCAACTGCAGAGTTGAGGCAAAGGGCACGTGTGTGTCAGTGTGTGCATGCCAGTGGCGGGGCGGTCATTTTCCTGCCACTGTTGTTAGTAATCAGTAGTCAGAAATGTTTGCCGACTTCCTTTCAGTCACCCAGAGATCTACCAGATACTTTGTTTATTTATTAATTTGTTTGTTTGTTTGTCAGTCTCTCTACCGCCCATGAGTCAAGACGAGTCAAGATGGCCATCTGCCCCGTTCGCCCCAGCTGATTCGGTCCATTCCCACACTCTCCTGGGGCCGCCTTCTGGGCCCTGTTCCTCGGGTGCGTTCCTTTCCCCAGCAAGGTCACTTTGTGCTGCTGACCCGTCAATCTCCCCTGGGGCTGCTTGCCCAGAGCTGGCGCTTTGCCACCAGTGGAAGGAAAAACCAGATGGCCTCAGTCCGTATCTGCTGAAGGAGTCCTGCAGAGGCCATGCGCTTGGGCTGCTCCAGAACAACCCTGCCCTGGAAAGAACTTGGTCCCTTCCAGTCTGGGCTGTATTCACCGGACGGTGCTTACGGTTGGGCCTGCGGTGACAGCTCTTGGATCTTGGTTACTGAGATCGGTCTGTGCAGTGCTACTTGAAATGCAGGTGACTAATTTGTCATAACTCTTGCTTGCGATTTTCGGATTCCCCATTGTGTGGTTGAGGCTCCTATAGGGCAGTTTCAAACGAGGGATTTGGCAGTACACAATCAGCTGCCCGTCTAATGCCAAAGACCACCCACCCTAGTTCCAGCCAGTGTTGTTATACATTCTGTTTTTCTTCCTCTTGCAAGGAAGCCGAAGCTGCTCACAAATTCCTCTTCTCCATTTTTATCCTCACAACATCCACCCTGTGAGGTAGGTTAGGCTGAGAGCCAGTGTCTAGCCCAGAGGCACCAAGGAAGCTTCATGGCAGAATGGGGACTAGAGCCCACCTCTTCTTTGCTACATTCTAACATTTGTCCGCAGTACAATTTCCCAATCCGGACTTGCCCACCCTTTCCACCCAGCTCAGCCATGGTGCTTTCAATTAAATGTGAAAACCGTGAATCTTTCATCCCGCATTTGCTTGTGCCGTTTTTCCTCCCAGCAGCAACTCTGCAAATGCCATCCCACAGAGCTGCATTGAGTTTTCATGAGATGATAACCTTGTTCTGCTGGACATGCCAACAATGACTATACACGGTTGCTAGGCATTTACACACACACACACACACACACACACACACAATCTGCTCCTGGCTAAATGCTGCCGCTGATTTGGTGGCTGACCCTAGAAACAGCACCTAGTATAAACTGCTGTGTCTGGCTGCTTGGAGCCAATCCAGCAGGTTGGTGCCTGGGGAGAGGGACGTGGTACTCGGAGCAGCTGAGCCCATTTGATCTGAGCAAGGGACCGTAGTGCATGGCAGAGCACTTGGAGAGTACCAGAGGTCCAGTCCCTGCCGTATTCCATTAAAAGGACTAACCAGCAGGTAATGGAAAAGGCCTCTGCCTGAAATCCTGGAGAGCAACCCCAGTCAGATGTCCCAGTCCTGAGCTGGGTGGAGTAACAGCCCAGCCTGCTGTGATGTAGCTTCCTCCTCTGACTCCATTCCTTCTCCCTTTGGCTCAGTTTGTAATCCTCCGCTTCCCAGCCAAATTCCCCAGCCAGGGAGCATGCGTCAGTGCCTGCCCCCATCTTTCCCTCTAATGACTTTTAAAGACATTTCTGACTTCCGTTCATTTCAAGACTTTCTTGTTTCTCACCATGCCCGTTTTGACTACAGTGCTGTTGGTACTTGCCATCTAACTTTGTCTTTAGACTCAACTGCAGCCCTCCCCAACCCGCTAGCCTCCAGATGCTGTGGCCTTCAGTTCCCATCAAGCCCAGCTATGGCCAGAATGCTTGGAATTGCAGTGCATCTGGAGAGCCTCGGGTTTTGCTGTTGGATCATTGGCTACTTATGTGGGAAGTCAAGAGGTTTGAGTGCCATTACTTTTTGGAACAAACCTCTGCTTGTACATTGAAGTCCTTTCAAAGGGCCTTTGTCCTCCTCTCATATAGTTACTGTTTAACATGTCTGACCTCTTGAACAAGACAGTTACACAATACAGCATCTTGAGCAGCAATGCAAGGAGACGTTATCTAGGTAATGGGGTGCAGTGGAGGATCAAAGGGTCTTTGGACCAGGGCTGGGGGTCTGAGACATTTCACTGCTCAGCGCATTGTCCTCCTGATGGGCTAAGGAGGTTTGGAGCCCATCCAGAACAGGGCTGAGATTTAGGGTGGCTGCTTGTCCATTGCCTCAAAAGAGGAAAGGCACTGCTGAAAAACGAAGGCAAGAGGGAATACTGATTTGCATAAAATCTGCTTACAAGCAGAGCTGCACATTTCGAAATGATTTACTGATGGGAAGACTGTCACCAACCGCTGGTCCAGTCTCTTGTCCAGGTTGATGGGCAAACTCAAGGCTTGCATTCTCCCTCCTTGGGAGGCTCAGTGGCTTCCTCTCCCCTGGGAGACCCATGGAAGACAAAGCTACCAATGGCTGCCAGTCATGGTGACTCTTCTCCTTCCCAGAGGCAACATACCAGCGGCTAGATAACACAACTGGGAGGATGCCATTTCATGTCTTGCTTGTGGGCTTCCCACTGCATGAGCAGAGCACTGGTCCAGATGGAGCCTTATCTGATCCCAAGTGGTTCTTCGTATGTTCCGCTGGAGTGCAGACAGTCCCAGGCTCCGTCTCCAGGAGGGCTAAGAAAGAATCCTGCCTGAATAGCTGCTGCCAGTCAGTGTTGACTAAACTGAGCTAGCTGGCTGGACATAGTGGCTGGGAGCTTCCCATGTTCCTTCTTAGGACAGGACAGACTTTCAGATGTGGGAGCCCTTCACATAGAAGACGCTCCTCTGTAAGTAGGACACACGTTCCCCCCTATGAACAATGGGGAGCTTATATAGCCAGGTTCGAGAGACAGAGGGTGGGTGGGTGAGAAACAAAAGGAGAGGAAAGGATTTCCTATTCAAACCCTGCTTTTCAGGTGCTTGGTTCATAAAGTGGCTTATATTTCTGGATGTTATATAGCCCTTGATTTGAAGGGCATATGCGCCAGGACACATAGTGGTTCACCCACAGCCCCATAAGCAATCTAGAGCAGAGGGAGGGCCTTTTGTGCCATGGCCCCACACCTCTGGAATGGGGATGCTGCCAGAGGTCCATCAGGCCCATTCCTTGGAAGTTTTCCAGAATGCCCTGCAGATTTACTTAAGCCAGCATATTCCTCATTTCTCCAAGCAGTGAGAGTTCTCGTTTGTTTTCTTTGGACAGCAGCATACTAAGGAGAGCTTAGGATGAGGCTGTAATATTTGCTTTATTTCCAAAGATATATTTACACATGTGCCGTGCTGCTGTTTTCCTCCACTTATGCTTTCCTTGAGGACAAGCTGCATAATTACACACTCCCAGGAGGCAAATCAATCCTTTACTTTGTGTCAGATCTCAGGAAAGAGAAAGAAGCCCCCTGAAGTTTCCCATGCCTTAAGCGAGCTCCAAACGTGCTCTCTCCCTCCCCCTGCCCCAGCCTTTGTCTGTCCCAGAATAGCAGATGCCTTTTTCCTTCCCCATTCCAGAGCTGGCTTTGCCATTAAGCAGTCTGGGGCGGTTGCCTCAGGCAGCAGATTGCAGGAGCCATGAAAGAGTTGTAAACTGCAAGTTATTTAGGTTGTTGCTTCAGCTGCCACAGGAGGAGAGGGGTGTTTGTGATTTTTTCCCTCTCTGATGCCAAAATGATTTAACCAGTTTTGTCTTGAGTCTGCCTCACACACGCATGCGTACACACACACACACACACACACACACACACACACAGAGGAGGGAGGGAGGGGGGGAGAGAGAGAGATCTCTGCTCATTTACACAAGGTAAGATGTGCCATGTTGGCGGGTTTCCCATTTGGAACGCTTTGGAGAGATCCCTGTCATACAATCAAGTTTGAACTGGACTCACGGAGACAGTATCCTGGCTCAGTTAGGAATGTTGCCACTCTTCTCACTATCAAATCCTGTTCAGTCCAGCCATTTGGGTGCTCCTTGGCAAACAATTACGCCCCCTTAAGTTGTCGTTAAGGCCATGCCTGCTCCCATGTCCCCATCCTAGCTATTGCAGCCATGTCTGTACAGGGAGACGTGTTTTATGCCGAACCCCCGCTGTGCATGGAGCTACATCAAGGGAAGCATTATGTGCATTGAGCATGATCTCGTCTGCAAGCATGGTGGAAGGGGGTGAAGATGGGGGTGCAGATCCCCATTCTCCTCCTCCCGTGATGGTGGCTCACTGCAAATAAGCCCATGATCACATTCACAGCAATTAGGTTCTCAGTCCAGAAGTAGCAACGCAGTGCCATGACCCTGAGCCAACTTTCTTTCCCTGTGTGACTGCTTTTAACCAAAGAATACGATGGTAGGGATCTGCTTGACCCCTCGGCCCTATAATCTAGACCCTGTTAGTAAGGCAGCCTCCCTCCAGCCTGACACCCTGTAGACATTTTGGGCTGTGTTTCCCGTCCACCCCAGGGATCATGGGAGCCGCAGTCCAACACACCTAGAGGGTGCCAAGTTGGGAAAGGCAGCCGCAAAGTATAAGGCAGCTTTCCCCAACCTGGTGGCCTCCAGAAGGTTTGGCCTACACTTCCCAGCATGCTCCGGACAGCTCTGCCCATCTGGAAGGTATCAGGACGAGCAAAGCTGTAGTAAGGAAGTGGAAAGCTTTTGCAAGCAGCGCACAGACTCTTCCTAAGGTCCCCATGTCTCTAGCATGCAAACAGCACCCTCTTCTCATCTGAGGGATGGACCTGGAGCACCCCCAGGCTGGCCACTGTTTCCTTCTCAGAACACTCTCCAGGGCATGCACCTTGGTGTTAAAGAACATAATCCAGGCTAATGAACAGCGAGATTAATGATGATGTTGCCGTCACTTTTTTCTGTGTCTGGTCACTAGAGAGTGCTGGAAGAAGGGCGCCACCTATGGTTATGCAGAGGTTTGATGGTGCAGTGAAAGTGCGGGCACATCAGCCCTATCTGCACAGCCCCGTCCACAAAGAGAAGCCAAAAGTGAGGCAGATGTAGAAATAATTCTCATCAACAAACAAGCTCTGGGAATTTTTATCTCCAGCAGAAGCAGAGTTGGCTTTGTTTTGTTTTTGTTTCTCTAAAGCTAATGGGTCTTAATTGCCCAAAGAGGACCTAACCATTTCAAATTAGTTCCCATTGCAACAGAGAAAGCTTAGGTCCATATATTGTTGTCAGGCTAATTCCTCGCTCAACACACCCCTCCTAATCATTGTAAGGTGTGCTAAATTCCCTGGGAACCCCAGGGAAAGGTAGCTGCAGACATCACCCGCCCCCTTCAGTCATAAGGCCCCTGGGCTTCAACCCTGAGGGTCTCAGCCTTGCCACAGCCCTGGTCTCATAGCTGCCACTCTCCTCGGCGCCCATGCATTTGGTGCCACTGGTGTAGTGGAGCCAAGACGCATGAGATCAATGCACCAAGGATTTTTGCTTATCAGGGAGGGTAGCCACAGATGGCAGGCACTGAGAAACTTGACCTGTGTGCAGTTCAGTGCCTTTCCAAGTGGAGAGCTGAAAGCAGACCAAGTAAAGTCCCTCCCTCCTCACAGCTTCGGCTTTTTAAAGTGAGCTGTGATTGAGGCTTGTTGTTGTTGTTTTAAAGCCAGGGAATATGCATAAATTCCGGCTGCAATTTGTGGCTGAAATGTATGCAAATTTCTCTGGCTTTTTAAAAAGAAAAGATGTAAATCATGGCTTGCTTTAACAGTGGAAGAGCAGTGCTGGCTCAGCTCCTGGCATCAAAGCAAGTTGTTTCTAGTGCTGGATTGCGGGGGGGGGGGGGGGGGGCAGGCTGAGGCAATCCTTCAGATTTTGGACTTTCAGTGGGATTCCTCACGTATTCCTGACAATGGCGTTGTCTGCTGATTTCTAGAAATGTTCCTGGGAATTAGCTTCCTGGGAATGCCTGTTGGAAAAGGTTATGTTTTTACTAGGATGTTGGAAACCAGTACCAGAACCTCAGACTTGTGTTTATCATATCTATATCCTGTCTTTTCCCTGTAGGGAACCAAAGTAGCTAATATCATCTTCCTGCCCCTCTCCATTTTATCCACACAACAACCCTGTGAGGTAGGATAGTCTGAGAGTCAATGAATGGCCCAAAGTCACCCAGTGAGCTTCATGGGTGAGCAAGGGCTAGAACCCAGATCTCCTGAGTCCCTGTCCAACAATCTAACCACTATGTTATGCTGGTTAATGTCAACTTAAAACAACGACAAGTTGTTTGAACTTATAGTATTCACCTCCTTAGATTCATTGAGGGATGGCAGGGCACACTTTAAAAAATCCTAACAAATAAACATTCTATCAAGGAATCATCTAATGATTCATTGCGAAACCTAAGTCTGCCAATGAGGGTGCAACACCATGAGAAAGAGATTGCACCTGGAACTGGAAGACAACTATGTGCTAGTGTTCCAAAGAGACAGTCAGTTAGGAAATCCTTGGAACGGTGGGAGTTTAATTGGCAACATGAGCTCAAACAGATCCTCACTGGACTCGAGCACCTGATGGCTCTGGACACCGGAGGCATTCCGTCCTTGCAGTGGCATCCGCTGCATCTCCAGCCTCTTGGAGAAGCTTTGCTCTGAAAGCAAAGCCATGCGACACTCAGGCATACTTGATTCCACTGGGCCATTGCCCTCCACATGCACAGGGTTTATTTATTTATTCAGAACACTTGTATGTTCCAGTCCGACCTGGTGCACAGATGCGCCTGCATATTCTCTTCCATCCCTAGTCCAGCCAGCACCTAGTCTGTCATCTTTCCTCCCACAAAGCTGTTCAGGAGGGGAAACAAGGGAATGATCACACACCACCTTATGATTGTCGCTGCCGGCACCACCCTTGAAGGGAGGGTGTGAGTTTCGTGAGAGCCCCTCCGCAGCCTGGGTATGGCCAGGGCGAAGGGGTGGTGAGATGAGAAGCTAACAGGACATGGCCTTGGCTTGGCAGGTTCCTCCGCAGTTACCTTCCCTTTGGTGCAAAGTGCTCTCAATGCAGGCAGGCAGGCAGAGTTAAGTGCTGTCAGTTATACAGATGGCTTCAATGGCATAATGGAATCTAGCCTTTCAAATATCAAACTATGGCATCCGGGAAGTGTTTTGAGCCTCCCTTCTGTAATTTCAACAGTGTATCTCAGCTGCTGCCCATACCTCCCCAGACCCATCATCCCCCCAGTGCTCAAATGCTGGAGGAAAAGGGCTGTGTGTGGTTTCCAAGGGGAACTATTTCCCCTGACACCCCCCTGCACAGTTTAGTCAGAACATGCCCCTGGCATGGCTCTCTCAAATCAGTAGCTAAGGGGACTGCCAGAAGAGGTAAGGGGGCTGAGCCACACGTTGCCCACCCCTGTCCAAGGGATGGCAAGGTGTCCTGTTTTGTGAGGACAGCTTCCTTTTGCATTATCCATTTCCCTCTTCGGTGCCAAGTGAGAGAGAAGTGTCTTTGCTAAGAATGGTCACATTTATTTTCTTTTTTGTGGTGGGGGAAAATTGGGGTCATTGGATTCTACAAACAACATCCATTTCCAAAATGTGCAGGGCAGTAAAAATGGACCCTCAGGCGATGATCGCCCAGGAAGGAGCATGAGCTCGAACAGACAACTTCCCACGTGACAATCTTAGTCCTACAAGTTTCATGAACAGGAATACTAACTGTGCTGGTGAAACAAACACACACACCAAGGAAGTCATTTCCCGCAAACATCACAGTGAAGTAAGATAATCACCATCACCACCCATGGATTCTTCAGGAACTGGCGCGATCCTCTAAGTGATACCAGTGCAAATTCGGGGAAGGGTGTCGCTCCGACATGTGCTTCGTCCACAGAAAGCCCCAAGTCCGGTCCCTGGCATTTGCTCGCAGGGCTTTGGAAAAGCTTCCCGTCTCAAATGGTGGAAAGCTGCTGCTGCCACCAATCAGGGTAGACAATATTGAACCAGATGCACCAATGGTCTGACCACATATAAGGACAGCTTCCTATGCCGCCTTGCTGTTTTATAGTGGAGGTGTGGAAAACTATCCTTCCGGCAACCCTCTTGCGCTCTCCCTTTCACTCACTCAAGTCCCTCCCAGCAGCCAAAGGAAATGGGTCCCTCAAGGCGCCACCCTGGTCTTTGTAAAACATGCAGCCTCTTATTCCCTCCATCTTCCACTGTTGCTTCTTCGGATTGAGAGATGAGAGACAAGTCATGCCCAGAAATCCCAGAAAAGTTCCAGGCAAACTTCTTTGATAATTATAGCAAGCCTTTCCTCTTTCTCAGGTGAGCTTTGCAGTGCCCCATGAGGATGGGTTAGGAGGTATCTTTCAGCTCTGGACTTTGGGGTACCTGAGGAGGCACTTCTGTGGTTGGAGATTGCATTTCTTGAGATCTGTCTGTAAGAGGGAAGAAACAAACTGATATAGAGACAGGCTAAGTTCATGGGAGACTGAAAAACTGTGTGTACATGTCCTGAACTCTTCAGGATGGTGCCAACCTGGAGCTAGGCCGGATGCTTTTGAAGGACCCTTCCTAGGTTGGTCAGCCCCTTCCAGCTCACATGTAAGGATGTACCTCAGCGGTAGGGTACATGTTCTGCATGCCAAAGAGCCCGGGTTCAATCCCCACCATCTTCACACAGGGCTAGAAAAAGTCTCCTGAAATCTAGGGGAGCTGCTCTCAGTCAGTATGGGCCAGGGATGCAGGAGCCTTTTCAGTCTGAGGGCTGAACTCGGTTTCAGAGAAGCTGCTAGGGCTGCCCCTGAACTCAGAAGAGGTGAGGCCCAAAATATGAAGAGCACCAGCTCTGCATTCCTACTGAATCTGCATCTCCTAAACTTTAGGAGAGGTACTTGAACCCTTCAGAATTGGGGGAGACTCTGCAAAAGCCAGGGGAAGACTGAACAATCAGTGGGCAGGTGGAAGGAGCTTGGTGTAGTGAGTGGACCAGGTGCACACCCTTTGCAGTCATTTTGGAATCTATCAGATCCTGAGGAAGCCCTTGAAGGCTCTGTGAGGGGCCCAGGATCAGGCAAGAGGCAAGCAGGGTGGCAAATGGGAGGGCCCGTGCTGCAGAGATGACTTCGAGCAGGAGACAGGGAAGATGCAGGGCCAGGGCCAGCCAGGCAAGGCGCAAGCACTGCCGTTCCAGGAAGCCCTGTCTTGCTGTGGCCAGTGCTGGAGGGAAGCGCTTGCTCTTACTGGGCTCTTCCTCCAGGACTCCCACCTGATGTGCCTCCAGAGAATGAGAGTCGGGACTGTGGGGGCTGGGACTGATCCTGCAAACGCAGTGGAAGTTGTTCTGGTGCTGGCCACCATGGGGTATTATGACTGGCACAAGGTTAAGAGAATAAGGCAGATCTCTACCTGAGTTCAAAGACATTTCTGCCAGCTTCAGTGGTAAGTCAGTGGGACTGACCCCTGCTGGTGAGCCCAGGATATCGGGTAAGGCGTTCCTTCGGCCAGTGCGTCCAGATGATGCAAAATCCAACACAGGCTCCACTTCTGTCATACTTCCCCTGAAATGGCTCAGGAAGCTCCAGGGTAACAAAGTGCTCTGATGACCTGGACACAACAGAGAAAGGGCGAAAGAAGCTAACCAGGGCCATGAAGATCTAAGTGGCGTCTCTTGGCTTTGGAGATCAGCTCTTCTTAGCTCAAACATTTGTTCTTAATTGTTCAGAAAGCCAAGAAACCTGCCACTTCCAGAGGGGAACTTGGGAGGTTGGCTCACAGTGGCTCTTTGCTACAGGAGATGCAAGCTGGCCAAATGCCAGACTGCTAACTCAAGGAATGACAGAGATGCCATGCTCTAAAATGTCCCCTTATTCGGATTTCTCCTGTCTGCAACCTTTTATTTTTTTTGTACATATTCAAATGTGCATACCTTTTCAGAGAGTGGAAATGTGATACCGAGGAGAGGTAATGATGCTACTCCAAGCATGAGAATCTTTGCACCAAAATGGATGTTTCTAATGATTGGCTTTCTTATTACACACCTGTCGTCTATGAAAGGAGGAGATAGAAGGTAGATCCCCAGGTATTTTGGACTTCAATTCCCAGCAGCCCCTGCCAGCATAGCCAGTGGTCAGGAGTGATGAAGTCCAAAACATCTGGAGATCTATTTTCTATTTACCCCTGATGTAAAGTCCATGGATTGGATCCACCCTTATTCATAGTTAGAGCTGACCTATTGAAATGAAAGGAACTTCAGTTAGTCGTGGCTAATTTAAATCCCCAGTCATTTCAATGGGTCTACTGCTCACCTCACAGGAATACCCTGGCATAGATTTCTGATCATCCAAGCAACCAGAGGCCATGGAGCAGCTTCATTCCTCTGTTCTTCATTAAATGCAGTGACCAGAATACTGTGGCTAACCTTGGTGAAAACAGCAAACCTCCCCAAAGACTATTCCTTTTCGGTTTTTATCTTTAAGGCACCAGGAATGCCACTGTGGTGCAACATGTAACATGGCGTGAGCCTATATTTTCTTTGTTGGACTCTTTAGTCAGATCATACACTGTCATTACCCTTCCTAGAATCATAGATCAGTGGTGGTGATAATGATGCATTTCATTTATAGCCTGCCTTTCCCCCTCAAGGTGTCTTCCATGGACCTCTGCTAATTCATTATCCTCACAACAGCTTCCCTTTGAGGAAGAGCAGGTGAGCGACTGGCTCAAAGTCTCTCTGTGAACTTCATGGCTGAGCAGAGACAAGAACCAGTGTCTCTCCCGTCTCAGTCCTGTATTCTAACCACTACACCACATTGGCTCTTGTCCATGCCCCTTCTTGATGTAGGAAATCCTAAGCTAAAGATTTAATGGAAATCCAAAGCTAAATCCTTCAGCTGGGCAGCCCTGCATTTTGGGAGTGCCCCACCTCCTCCCGGCAGGTTCCGTTGTTGAACTGCTTGCACTGTGAAGATGCTTTTCCTAATGTTCAGCTGATACCTGCCTTTCTGTAACTTGGGGCTCATTAGGTCAGAGTGTGAAAATGTACTTCAGACAAGTTCAGTTTTGCGGAAGCACCAGGGGGCTGCATTCTAGTGCCAGACAGTACTTGAAGGCCACAGAAGGGGGAGTGAAATTACAAAATACCAAAAGGACAGAACAGCCCAGTACACTGTGGTTTAAAGCTCTTCCGGCCAGTAACTAAACCTTAGGGAAGCCTTGTACCTTTTTAGCACGGGGAGAGGAAACACAGCTGCATGAAAGCCAGGGAAGGACCAAATGGGCAGTGTGGCCATCGCAGGTATTTTGCAGAGTTAGGCTGGGGTCCCCAGGCCTCAGGCTTCCCACCCCTGTCCTTTGGCTCAGCAGAAGCCTTTGCACTCTTCCAGGGCAGGGCAGCCCTGAGTGCCAATGGCTTCCCCCTGCCCATCATCCCCAGGCTTCCCTTTGCTTGGAAAAGCATACACAATTCCTCCAAACTTTCCAGATATGGGTTCTTCTCCATACAGTGGCGGCCCACCTTTGTCCTCTTGCTCTGATCCTGCTCTGATTGGTGCACGTCCTTCGCAGCAAAGGGTGAGACATCATTGGTGAGCTGCGACTAAAAGAACTTTCACCTTGTATGATCTCATGTCCGGCACAAGCCTTTTCCAGGCCTTTCCCATGTTTATTTCAGGGTTCTCAGACACTGTCAAACCAATGGTGTAAAAGATCAAGTGATGTCCAGGCACATGTGACTCTGCCCATAGAGCCAATTTAAGCACGAGAGAGGCCATGTTGCATGTGCTTTTGCTGTCCCTGTATAGCAAGGACAGAGCATAGTTCTTGGTACCTATTTTGCCTTCTGAGGAGATGCTGGGAACTAAGACGCTTTTAATACGTTCACATTTTATTTATGTATTTGTTATATGTGTATCTCATCTTTCTCCCAAGAAGTCTCTATGATCTTCCTCCTCTCCATTTTTACTTTGCAACAAGCCTGTAAGGTAGTTTATGCTGAACATCTGTAACTGGCTCGAAGTCGGCCAGTGAGTTTCATGGCCAGATCCATGTCTCCTTGGTTCCACACTCCAACATCTGCACCATGCTGCTTTTCATGTGATTTATAGGAATCAAACTCTCTGATAAAACTGCTATTTGATTATGCCCAGCTTTTTCATTTTTCTCACTTTCCACAATTCTTATGCACATTTTTCTTAACATGCATATTTTGTACACAGCTTCCCCAATTTTTTTCCAAGTGATTTTCTTACTTTCGTGTGGTTTTGCTCACTCCTTTCTTTAAGATGTGCATTGTTGCACTATTTCTATTCGCATTTTTGCACACTTTCCCCTTTTTAATTTGTGAACTGCATTGCAAACTTCACAAAAGCGTGCATATTGCCATATAACTGTGTCCCAGATTCTCTGCAGGTTCAGGACATTTCTCACCCATTCCTAGATTTGTCAGGATAACAATTCTGGACCAAACACTGACAGGGGCAAAGGTTCACCTGGAATCTGGAGAAGAACTTTGGCAGTAAAAGGGTTTTTCTTTTTCCTTATGTTTCTTATGAGGTGTGAAGGATAAACTCACCAGAAATCCCTCTGGCTTCTTAAATTTTGGGCACAAGCAGGGCATAGGTGGAAGGGGTTCTGAAATGTAGGGTTCCAGTACATTCCACAGAGTGGATCTTCCTGCCGGATCATGTGAGCCTAAATGAGATTGGACAACTGTGCTGTGATGAGTGTGTGTGTGTCTGTGTGTGTGATGAGAGAGATGAGATTAAAATGAGAACATGTTTTTCTAGGCAGTTTCCTATTTATACAAACTAAAGCAAGAAAAAAGATGAAGAATTTGGACTGGAATCACACGACCCCAAGCCCACGTTTGGCTCTGACTTGACAACCATCTCTCTGCATTCAACTCAACTTTCCAACCTGCTCTTTCAAAGAAACACCTTCTTCCCACACCATTCTGAAGCCAATTTCTAGGCTTAGGGCAACCAGAGGGCCCAGGAGGACAGCTGCCTGCTCCAAATACGTACAGGAAAGAGCCAGTGCTTGTCTGCCAGACATGCAAGCCCAAACCTGCCACACTGATCTCATGGTCCACACTTGTGATGCAGCCATACAATTTCATACCAATGAAGGAGGCAACTGGGGGGGGGGGGGGGGGAGAGAGAGAGAGAGGAAAACCTGCTCTTGGTCATCCTGGTAGAGGTTCAGCTGGGCTCCTTGTCTCACCACCATCTTTGTCACCCCAGCTGGAATTTTAATCCCTCTGTCTGGAGAGAGGTTGACTTTGTAATCCAGGTATAAGCTCTAGTAATGCACACACATGGCCATGCAGATGGAATCTGCAAGTGAGCAAAATGCTGCTTTTTGGAAAGTTTGGATGCCTTGCATGGCATACCCATGCTTTTCTATGGCAACCAAGTGCATCTATTCACTCCTCTCCCTCTCTCTCTTTTGTTCTTTAATCTCCAGAGAGCTTCCACCATCACCTGGATGGATCAGGAATTCTTGGCTTCCGATCTGCTCTCAGCCCACCGAAGCATCCCCGACAGAGGCGCCCAGCAGAGCCACCTGTAACGTCTCCTTCCCTCCGCCTTTCCCCTCCCTCCCATCTTTCTCCACACAAAAATCCGGACCCTCCATATCAAGGGCAGGGACCACAAGCTGACACACTTACCAGCTGAGCGATGGCGAAGGGAGCAGGCTGGTCCCCAAGGAGGTGGGTCTCCAAGAAGATGGGGAGGAGGAAAGTAAGAGACTGGTCTTCACGGGGCGCAGATGGTCTCCGTCGCCATGGCCCCCTCCCCTGAAGCCTCTCCCTCTCCTTGGCTGAACCGATCTCGGGATGCTGTGGATATCAGCAGACCTTCAGCCGTCTGCCTGATACGCCTGTCGGATCTACCAACCACTTGGAACACGGGGGAGCCCGGCACGCACGGCAGCTTTCTCCCTGGTAACACGGCCCAGCACGGGGCCGCTTCCTTTCTCCTCCGCACGATGCGGGAATCGGAGAGCAGGCTTCTGCCGCGCACGCCAGCCCCGCAGCAATCCCGCTTCGGCCCCCGTGTCTTCTGCCTGCCGGGCCACCTGGCTGGCGCAGGACTTGGTACCTGCCTTTTTGCACATGGCTGCTCTGAGCTGCCCGGGCTTGGATGAGCTTTCCTGGCGGGGCTGCTTGCTGCGCACCCGCTCGCCCTGCTTCTCCTCCACCGCGCCCTGCCCTTCCCGTTGCCACGATCTCCGCGCAACAGGTCATGCTGTTCATTCGGGGCTTTTCTTGTCTGCGACTTTCACAGAGAAGCCAGGCAACGTTGGCCGGGCATGCCTCCCCCCCCGCCTTCCCCTCCAGACTGCTCTAGGGCGAACCGAAGCGGAAACGAGCATTTCCCCAGATGTGCTGGACTGCAGCTCCCATCTGGAATGGTGGAGACCCCAGACCAGCACCTTTGGAGGGCACCGGGTCGGGGAAGGCCAACCTGGGGGAATTCCCAGGGATCTCCCTTAGGCGGTCATTATGCCCAGCCGAGTGCCAACAAGATTGGCACCAACAAAGGGCTGCTGGGAAACAGGAGGTCTCGGCATCCTTGGGTGAACCTCAGGTCTGC